CTAGCTAAAATGTTCTTCCATTCTTCCAAGTGTGTTTGACATATACAATACATACAAAGTCATCATGCCAGACTTGAGGTTTCCATTGTACTTTATTTTTTACAATATATTAAATACACATTAAATATAGCATATTTAAAATACACAAAAATGCTGTGTGTGGTAAACAGCCATAGCCCTCCCATCCAAGAACTAAAGCAGGTTATTCACAATTCACCTGTGGGCTTTTCTCCGGCCCTTTTTACTCCTCCTTCAATAGGCTATCTATCACTAAGCTTGATTTTGGGTTTTCTGTGACTTTCCTTTGTAAGTTTTTATCACATATGAAGCTACCATGTATGTTCTTTGGTCTCACACACTTTTGAACTCAATAAAAATAGGTATAGTGCCTTAAGTAGTCACAAGAAACTTGTTTTGGCCCTATACTGCCAACTGTGGCTGTAATTCGCTCATTTTCACCACACCACGTACCTGAAGGTACCTTATGAAACCATTCTCCCATGCACAGAACTTCAGTTATCCATCTGTTACTACCATGATTATACTGCCATGACCAAAATGTAAGACATGGCTGAACATGACTAGAAGTTCTGCCCATATTCACTGTAGATTGTTCACATCTGTAAGGTGTAACTGCTCTCAAGCAGTGATGTGAAAGATGTGTGACTACCTACAGACCATCTAACACCTGGAACTGTGGGTCCCATTCTTGCAAATGTTACATACAGAAAACAGAATCTCACATTTCTGATCACCACAAAACATGTATTTGTTTCCCACCATCCTGAGAATGCTTTTCTATACATTCTGGTTACTAATCCCTTATTGGTTACTTTTTTAAAAATGTCTTCTCAAAGCAAACACCTCTTCATTTGTCCTAGTAACATTGGGAGCTGTGGTGTGTCACAGCATTAGACCCTTTTGTCCAATCAGTCTCACTCACAAATGTTCATTGCAGTGAGTCATTGGTCTGGTTCGAGGCCTCTGGCACAGCATCACTGGACCCTCATCAAAACTCCTTTTGGATATCCTGCCAAGTCATGGAGATCCCGTGGCTATCTTTCTGTAGGACCAGTCCCTTAACATGCTCCAACAGCTCATAGATGGGGTAGATGTTAGAGTGGGCCAACCCAAGGCTCAGGGTGGTAGCTGAACTGGTCAGTCTGGGCCTCTAGAACTGCCCCCCTCAGGCGAGGTGAATGTGGAACTAGCTCTCCCAAGCCTGAGGTGAGAGTGGGCCATCTTCCCTGAGTGCTGGGGTCAGCTCTCCCATGAGGGGCAGGTCCAGCTCTCCTGCTGTAGTCTCCTGCAAGATGCAGGGCCAGCTATACCAGGGCCAGTGGAGGGCAGGCAGGCTTTGTGTACTTTGTTTTTAATTTTTTTTTTTTCTTGGTGTGGGGGACCTATTAGGGGAGGGATGGATATGAAGTGGTGAGGGGCAGATATGAAGGTGGGAAGGTGAGTAGGATTGGGGTGCATGATGTAAAATTCCCAAAGAATCAATAAAGAACTACATTATTAAAAAAAAAGTCATTCACTTGCTTATCTGAAGTCCTTAGCCTTTGGTAACAATGACTGAAGCCATTTCTGCACCAAAGCTCCATGTAATGTCAGACAAGTTCCCTAAACCTTTCTTCATTTGCATAAGCATCTGACCACTTTTGATCCTTTGCTATTACTCCACATTAGTCATCTGCTTGTCTTCAACATGACCTCAGTTAGAACTGCCGCTGGAAATCTTGACTTCATAGCTCAATTTGGAAAGATCTGGCATCTTTATAACCTTTAATGTTTCTATTCACAGTTCCTCATCTGTTCCTTCCCCGATGTTCCATCTTTACTCTTCGGGTCCTAAAATGTGAGTCAACCAGGGCCTTCCCTAAGTACGTCCACCACCAGACCAACACATTTTTGAGCAAACTGTCCTAGGGAAAGACAGTATGGAGTGAGCTTGCAATCTGCTGACTGGGCAGCACCAATCGGTCTTTATTACTGAATATACTGGAGAGCAGATGAGATAGATACCCAGAGGCAAGGTTTGGGAGACTCAACCAGCAGATGCCTCATGTACTCCTTCAGGACTGAGGTGGCAACCTTCCTCTTAAGGAGCAAGGATTAGAATGGAGGAGCCTGGAGTACTGAACAGATGACATCAACCTCTGAAACAACAGGCTGGGAAAGCAACTAATGACAGAGTGTAAGAATTTAAACAGGTAGAAGAAAAAATGGTTGAGAAACGACCATAAACATAAAAGGCTAACAAAAGAATTACGTCAAGGGAGAGGATATGGGTAAGAACTTGGAGCAGTCAACACTGTCTAAACCACGGAGAAGATAATCCCCTGGGGAGGCCTCTAGATCCAATAATTAAGAAGTGTTCCGTGCTAAGAGATGAGAAAGACACCTCCCTTAACTTTACTGCACTAAGTGCAAGGAGGAGAGAAATAACCGGTACACGAGAGAAGCCCAAATATGTGAAGAGAGCATGCATGAGACCATGAGCTGGGGCGGGGGGGGGGGGGGGGGGGGGGGGGGCAGATATTCCCATGTGTGTTCATTATGAATGGAGGAGAATGGCTAGCAAAACAGCTCAAAGGAGCAGAGTTACAACAAAACTATGCCTATCCCCAGCCACTGCTCCACAAAACGAGCCTCTACAGCAGGCAGCAGAGCAAGCAGCAAAACGGAGACAACTCCTTCCCACCGCCCCCCAAACATGTATTTATTGTGTGGTGTGCCACAAGCTGCAAGTGGAGGTCGGGGGTCCGTCTCTTCTTCTACCATGTGAGTCCCAGAGATCAGACTCAGGTCAGGTTTGGCAGCCTGTACATTTGCTCACTAAGTCATCTTGCTGGTCCTGTTTTTGTTTTTGAAGACAGTCTATTTACTCAGGATGGCCTGTTGTTACTCACGCCAATCCTCCTTCTGCCTCCACTTCCCAAATGCTGTGATAACAGGCATAGGGCAGGCACATCTGGCTACAGACAATTCCCAACTGTGAAAAAATAAACATGCAGCCCGAATGAATGTGTAAGCTCTGAGTGTGAAATCAGTTCATGTCAGTCTCAGGTGCCAATGGTGAGGGAACATGCTGGGTGCATTCAATCATGCACACAAGAGCCCAGTTTAGAATGTTAGCCTTTGGAGTCCAGCTTCTCTGGAATACCTAAAATAAACTAAGAAGGATGCTTTCAAGTTATCATTTACATCCCTTAGTGAGTATCTATACACCCCAACTTGCAAAAAAGAAGAGGAAGATAACTACGACGTATGTCATGGATTAGATCAAAGACATATTCAAGGAAGCCAGCTCAAAGAGTGGCAATGAAATAAATAGACTGCTAGTAATTCTTCAGTTGAAATACAGTAAAATATCTAGAGGTTATTCTTCCTCACAGACGAATGTCCCAAAGTCTAAAGAATATACCTGCTATGAAAGTATGTCCTGAAACTAAGTGGCTCAAACTAATGAGTCCCATTTATATTCTAGTACATGCTAAACACACCTTAAAAAAGAAGACAATTCTTTTCACTCTGAGGGCAAGTATAAAAACAAGATATAAAAAATGTATACTACTTTGAAAATAAACTTGGAAAGACTACAGATACGCAGGATCATCATTACCCAACAGCCATTTTCTTCTTTTTGCCTCCACTATACCAGAGGACGTGTTTGGGGCAAGTGCTTTGGGGCAACATATGAGGTAAGGGAGGAGTCTCTCTCACGGAAGATGAGTCCTGATGGCGGTGGTTTCTCCCTCAGTTGGTGTAAATGTTAAGTTGGGGTTCTAATCCTAGAAGGAGAGTCCCCCACAGTCACCTTCCCAAACACATTTCCCTATTCTACCTCCTCCATTAACCTCTTATTCTTCTCATGAGTACCTACTGTGCTAAGACTACAGAGCTCTACAGGACCTCCACTTAGACATCTGTGTGTATCTGAACTGTCTCCATGCACACTCCTGTTTAAGCCTCACCCCAGTGAGACAGAAATTAGTATCACTGTTCTCAGTTTATAGATGAGCAGACAGTGCTGGGGAGACTAAGCACTTAGCTTATGTCACATGGCAGTTACACTGTCAAGTTGAAGTTGGAGTCTGTACTTTCACGGCCTAACGCCCTGAACAATTTCTCCAGAAATAACAGAGACAAGTCAATGTAGCATATCCAAAATATATGAGTTTGGAGTCAGGTGCACAGCCACACCAGCACACCAGGGCAAACAGTCCCAGTATTTCTGTCCAGCAAGCAGTGAGCATGCCTCTGCCAAAGAGTTCTATAGTCATTTAGCTGAGCCTCAGAAAATGAGGTCTTGCAGGAGAAAAGAGGACTGCCTTGCTCCCCATCCAAGTCTACTGTTGAAACCACTTAGATTGAAATGTCACACTTCTCACGGTGGCACTTTGCTTCTGTGTCACATGTCTCTACACATTCCCCTATTCAACTTATTTTCAGAATCTTTTTTTTCATGTGATAAAAACAATAAAAACAAGCCGGGGCGGTGGTGGCTCACGCCTTTAATCCCAGCACTCGGGAGGCAGAGCCAGGCGGATCTCTGTGAGTTCAAGGCCAGCCTGGGCTACCAAGTGAGTTCCAGGAAAAGGCGCAAAGCTACACAGAGAAACCCTGTCTCGAAAAACCAAAAAAAAGAAAAAGAAAAAAAAAACAATAAAAACAAACAAACAAACAACAACAACAAAAAAAAAAACAGGAACAAGTTGCAAAAGACACCTTCTGCCTGCTCCAATCCTAAGGACCCAGGGACACCAGGAGCCTCAGCACTTTGTTGTTCCTCATTTAAGGTCCCTGAAAAAGTTACTTATTTTCTAGGACCCCAGAAGACCTGCTCTACATTACATGCCACCAACCAGCCTTCCAACACTGGCCAGGCAGGCATCCGGGTGCTTTTTGTTGTTATTTCTAAGGCACTCTGGATGGTACTCTCTTGAGGTCAGCAAACATAAGGTTTTAAAGAAAAAAAGAGAAAGAGAAAAGGAGTGTGAGAGAGAAAGAAGTCAGTCTGTATCATATCCCAGAATGGGGCCAAGCCATTTCTCCACCTCAGCCACAGGCATGTTCTTCCTCAAAGCATAATCCTCAATCTGTAAAAGACAGAAGCATCTTGTTAAACCAAAGTGCCAAGACTTTCTTTTCTGATCTGAGTTTCCACAGGTTTTTGGAATAAACATTAAGAACCTGGCATATCTTGTCTTGACAGCAATCTACTGAGCTAAACAGAGGTATTTTCTGTCTGCCTACTTGCTTTACTCTCTAGGCAAAAAACAGCATGTGGCATATATGTCTGCTGCTTGGAAGTTGGAAGGTTTGTGTGTGTGTGTGTGTGTGTGTGTGTGTGTGTGTATCACAGGTAGAGAGGGAGGGCTAGAATCAGGGTAATGGGCTGAAATCAAATTAAGACACAACTGGGGTGAGTTTATTCACACACACACACACACACACACACACACACACCCCACATCACTGTCATGTAAAGTGGGTCCTACAGGTCCATTTTAAAGACAGTTATCTAGAGAAGTCACATACTTACCTGATCCTTGGAAACTTTCCCCACAGCAAAATATTTGGACTTTACATTGGAGAAGTAGAGACCTGATACTGCTGAAGCAGGTGCCATTGCCAAGGATTCTGTCAACCTGATGCCTGAAGAGAACCACAGGAAGCAATCAGTGCCCAGGCAGGATACTAACAGACTCTGAATGAGCACCAAGTAAACTCATGCTTTCAAGGCAGACACAATGACACAGTAAGAAGCTCCGATCACAGTGTCTAGCAAATTCTTGTCACGTGGAAAAACCAAATTCAGGACATGCACATTATACCCAGTGGAAGCAAGCCTGGAAAAGACTGCATTCTTTCCCCCAGCTACCCATGATCAGTTGTAGAGGATCCAATTTGTCTCTACGTTGAGTCTTCTCAGGCAGGACTGCTAGCCCTGGCAGTACGCTCCTCATGACTTTGTGAGGTGAGCTGGTAGCATGAATGAAGAACAAGCCCACAAAAGCACTGAGAAGGAAGGGTCCTCAGGACTGTTACTCAGCACTACTCACTCTATGGACAAGAACATGGAATCACCAAGGACTAAATACTTTCTAAAGATCTCTAGCTCACTCACAGGAAACGGGGCTCACACCTAGATGTTGTGATTCCCAGAGTTGTTTCTGCAGACCCAGATCCAACGCCACTCCCAGTTCCTTTCTTTGATATGGATTCAACTTTGCCAGCTTTGATAGCTAATTTTGATTGATTAATTCCAAGGGGTTTGTGATTTAACCTGAGTCCTCTCAACTCCACAAGCTATGCAGTAAGGATGGGACAACACACAGCCTCAGAACAATGACTGACTCCACCCCGAGCCAAGGACAATGAGGCTGTTGTCTCAACAGAGCACAGGTCAACTTTTAACTTTCAACTCTGAGACTCAAGCCATAGAGAAAACTGAAGAGGAGATGATGACTGCAGAGGAGCATTAATGTTAACAGCAAGTACAGAGAAGTGAGAAAGCTCTGGGAAGGCTGGGAGCTTGCCGCTTTAGAGCCCAGAAACAGCCATCAGCAAGCAGTGCAGGCCTGAGCAGGCAGAAGACTCATCCAACAGGACAGGGGCCGGCCACTAACTACTGTACCAAGACAGAAAACTAGGTTTGAAAGCCAGGGAGAAGAAAAGAGAACAAGGTAAATCCCCATCCAGGATGGGGCAAGAGTAAACAGTTTAAACTAAGTCTAAAATATTAAAGCAAAAAATACATTGCTGTAATTTGGAAGTAAAGTGCCAGAACAGATCCAAGTGAGAAAGGATGGGATGGGGGGTGATTTCATGCTAAGTTCTTCCATTTTATAAAAACTTTAACTGCATATGTCATTGGTAAGTGCATGCACTCAATGAGCAAGGACAGGATCTCACTGTCTCCCACACACCTGTGGCCTGCTCAATGTTGGCCAGTCTCCACATGGTGAGCTTCTCAGTATGGTCAGGCTGGCTGGGGTAACCAGGAGCTGGTCGGATGCCCTCATATCGGAGTTTGCGCAAGTCTGTGACACCCAACTGCTCACTACTACAGTAAGCCCACAGTTCTCGGCGAACTCTCTCATGCAGCTCCTCGGCAAAGGCCTGGGAACAAGAAGAGAGAGGGGCACAATCAAGCAGAAGCAATCTGTGGCCTCCAGCCCTGCATCACAGTGGCACAGAATCACTTTCCCCACCTGGCCACAGTCAGGAAAAACTGTACTTTCACTAGCTGACCTGAGACTCAATGGTGTCCTCAACTGAGTTCTGAAGTATCATATTTAATAATCTGAGAATTGTAGGCCATTTTCCTGAAGTCAATGGGACCACAGCTTTACCAGAAGAGTACTGGGACCACAGAGCTGTACTCTCCATGGCCTGCTGAAAAGAAAGGGGACAGGCCCTCCGACAGCTTGGCCTGCCTCACCCCACATGCAGCAAAGATAACTCTACCAAAGTTGCCAACATTACAGAGGACTCTAAAGCAGAAATCTGATTTTAATTCTGGGAGTTATCAGTAAAATGATGCATCACAATAATCAAAGGAAGACTAATTCAGAGATAAGGTCAAGACCCTTGAGGGCAACAACCAACTAGTGAAGCACTGGAGGTTTCTCTTTGCTAAAAGATGACCCGAGTGGCATTTGGGAGACACAGGACTTAAACTACAAATCGTGTTAAAGCCGGCAGCATCTGGCTCAACTACACAGTGACACAGATTCTAAAGGCTGCCAGGCTTTCTGACACTGTCATGAGAGCTCCAACACCCAGACTTCACCTCAGTACCCCACTATCTGCCAATGCTGTACCTCTGCCAGCCGGTCCCCCAGTGCCTTCACCATGATGCTGCTGTAGTCATCGCCATCATCCTCGTAGGCTTTACTCAGCTCTTCAACCCCAAAGCAGGCAACAGCAAACAGACCCAAGTAGTCTCGGACACCAGAATGCAGAGGAGCAATGAAGTCTGAGAGGCAGTGGTAGGGGTCTATATTGGAAGAGTCCTTCTCAGCCTTAAAACCCAAGCATTGGGCAGAGAAGTCATTAGTATGGCCATGGCACCAGGACATAGTAAAGAGCAAAACGAATATAAGCCTTAGGACATACAATGTCTGCCTGCTACGTTCAGCTCTACCCAGCATTCAGAACGGTGTCTGGCACACAGTGAGGATGCAATAGATACTTTAGTGTGTTCATACACTAAACTGCAATTACTCAACATAGCCATATGGGGCCCAGAAGCACTGCAGCATAGGAGGTGGAGCCCTCATGACTTGATTACTATCTTTCTTGCAGGATGAGTTGGCTATCACTGGAGTTCAGCCTTCTTTTCTCACTCACCCATGTGCCTTTTTGACTTTTGCCATGTTACAAAGCAGCACGTGGTTCTCACCAGATGTGGCTGCCTGATCTTGGACTTAACAACCAGAACAATGAACCAAAATAAACATTTTTCTTTATAAATCTCCAGTCTTAAATATTACATTATAGCAATAGAAAACAAAGACACAAATGAAATGACATTTTTAAAAACATATGACATGATGTAGCATATATAATTAGGAAATTAGTGGATTTGCTCATTTATGCACTCACTAAACACTTCTGAATACCTGTAGGCACTCTGCTAGGAACCAGAACCTTAAAAAACCATAGATTAAACATTACTTTTGTAGTGTTTTCAATTCAGATGAGCATGTTTGAGAAGAGCCTGATAAAGGGATTAGCCTTCACTGTGCATTAACAGATAGACTTTAACAAACTGCTAAGGTCAAGTGCATACAGGCCCGGTGTTGTCTACCATGGTTTGTTAGACTTCTAAGAACACACTAAGGCATTCTGAATACAAATACTCTGTCCAGGGCCTGGGAATCATAGTTGGAAGAATGCCTGCCTAGAATGCACAATGCTCTATGTTTGATCCCCAGTACCACATAAGCTAGGTACAATCTTGCAGGCCTCTAATTTCAGCATGCATGAAGATCAAAAATTCAAGGTCCCTTGGTGATACATCAAGTTTGAGACCAGCCTGGGACACATGAGACCCTGTCTCAAAACCACACACACACACACACACACACACACACACACATATATACACACACACACAGACAGGCTCTCTCCATAGCACAGGTGTCTATCTTCCACTGGTTTACTCTCAACTGGTAATTATCCTCCCTGCTATGAAGCTATAAAAGTCTTATACATATCACAGTCAATAAAAAGTTACTAGCTTCTAACTAATACTTCCAAGTACTTAACACTCTGTTGTTCTTTACAGGGTACTAATTTAGCAATTCAGTGAAGAAAGTGATCCACACGCTCTATTTCACAGGCAAGAAATCTGAGACGTAAATTTGACCCACAGGCTCAGGCAGTGGCCAGACCCAGGCGCTAACACCAGTGCCCCATCAGGTCTAGAAACAAATGCTCCTAGATACATGGAACTACTCGAGACTGATAAATTCATCAAGGAGGAGTCACCCAGAATCCTCTAAGCCATTTGCTAGTCATGAGAGCAAGTGTAGCCTGACGCCGGGCAGAGAATAAGCCAGTGGCTGCAGGTCAGAAGACATAAGTGTCCCGGAGCTCAGGGATAGAGGTGAATGGAGGGTTAGTCCATTTTCTAGTGGCACTCTACTGTTCTTTGATTTTAAAAAAAGAAAGAAAAGCAGGAGAGGTACACAAACCTACTCTGCAGTAGGACAGGTCACTGGTCCCACTGTGCCTTAGAAGGGATGCCAATCAGAGTTTGAACAGAGTTTACTTTGAACAAAAGGCTCAGCTACATTGTTTCAGTGCCCTACAGATCACCTCCTAATAAATGGCTATCCACACAGGCAATACAGACATATGGTCCAGTTCCCCTTTCTAGGGACTACTAAAAGAGTGAACTGAGAATCCACTGTGGAAAATGTCCTTATACAGCATGTCCAGACTTCCCTGACACAACAGTATTTAGTTCATTCTGGAAGTGAAAAGACAGCAGAGGAAAACCAAGGATGAAAGAATGGGCCCAGCAGGTGTCTGCCCTTAGTTACCAGTCAAAGAAAAGCTCATGATTCCCTAGCAAGAAAGGGCCAGAGCTCAGCACTGGAACTCCCTACTCTGTATCCGGTGGTGTCTGAGCCTAAGCACGCAGAGTAAAGCTGAAATTGTTCTCACATAACTCCTTATGGTATTAAGGCCCAAATTTAAAAATCCTATCCGTTGTTACTATTAAAACCCTGTCATTATGAGTTGCATTATGATAAAAGGCAACACTACCAATTTTAAATCACTAAAAATGTGAGTGAAACTAAAGAAGTAATTTACTGCTAATTATTAAATTCTAGCTCCAATTCTTGACTGAGACAATTGTGTCTACAGTGCTCAAGTCTTCGTATGGTGCCTGCATTTTTAAGGGTGAGGCAAAAGGAAAACACAGATGGTGTGCACCGAGAACTGTTACAGGGAGAGCACAGCCAGGGTGCACTCAAGGGGGCTTGCCTCTCTGCACACGAAGCTCAGCGCCAGCTCCCTCTGCCCACTTCTTTTCCTCTGTGAAACAGAGACATAAGCCGCCTGACAACAGCACCATGAAACGGTTGCACTCTGGCTCTCTTGCTCCCTCTTCGGGACCTGGCGGGGCGGACATTCTGGGATATTTGTCCCCACCAGACTTCCCTTTGAGACAGTAAGTGACGTAACAGTCTTTAATAGAACACTCAGATGAGAAGCAACTGTTAGGGAAAGTAAATGCCCCCTAGTTGCAAGAGATAAGGGGACTGAAAGACTGAACCATGCGTGTATGACAGCTGGGCTAGCAGCACTGTTCCCTGTCTATCTGCGGACACTACAGTGAACTCCTACCCTACCTAATGGACACCCATGTGGGTGCCTTCTCTCCATCCTCACAAATGCTTAGGACTCAGGCCTATGGAGAACTGTTTGGGATGAAATGGAACAGAAAAAAGGCTCAGGTTTCTTATTTAATTCTCACTGACACCGTGTAGTTTCCAAGCCTGAGAGTCAAAGCAGTGTACTCATTGTCCACACACATTCCATACCTGCTGCCTCAGCCCATAGAAGGTGGCTATGGGTTCTGAAGCCTGGGGCACCACACCTTCTGCATACAAGTGGATGTCATCTTGGACACTCTGTGCTGGCCAGAATCCAACCACACCCCTGGCCTGGAGTTTCTTTTGACTTATCAGTATGTTCAGCATATTCTGAGCATCATCATACACCTTTCTGGCTTCTTTACCTATTAAAAAACACAATAAGAATTTATTCAAAGATGCCGATAATAACCTGCAAACAACAATTCTTCTTAAAGCACTGCTGCTTCTCCTTCTCCTGCCCTCTTCTCCATTCTCACAAAGATTCTCAAGTTTGCCACGGCACAGCCTGAAGCAGAGCAACAGTGGCTAGTGGGTCCATGAAACGAATCCCCACAGTGTGCCTCCTCTAGCTCAATCTGGTTATATTTTCCCATTTAGTAGACTCCAGAGAGCTAAATCAATGGCTCCCAAAACAGTCTTGTCAGAAAGAGGGCAAGAATCGGCATTCCACATACAACCCTATTAACTTCACAGAGATGTATGGGGATGAGACAGGGTGAGTGGTGATATGTGGTCCAAATCCTCTTAAACGGCATTGGTACTGTATCTGAATAGCTTCAGCCCCTGCAGGTCTGGGGCCCCTTCCATCAGTTCCCATTAGCTCTCAGGAGGCAACACTGTGCTGCCCTACCTGCGTGAAGGGCAGTCGCACAGTTCCTTCACAGCGTGCTGTGGTGGCACAGGGACAGTGCAGTAAGAAGTCCCTTACCCAATCCTCCCACTACCTGTAAGTGCTTGGGTCTCAGCATGCAGCATACCCAGGACCTCCCCAAGGTGACTAGTATCTCATTTCCCTGGCTCTCTCCAGCCGGAATCCCACAGTTCACCAGTACTCTTCCTCCCGTGTCTCTAGGGGCTGGTTGGGGTGAAGCTACCCGAGACAAGTGAGGGGAGCAATTTAGGGATTTACTCACTTCTCTCCTTTACCATGCCAAGTCTCCCTCCTTCCTTAAATGTTCTGGGTACAATGAGGTCTGCAGTTCCCCACATGGGCACCCATGTCCAAGGCTTCTCATTCGCCTCAATTTGACATGCTCCTTCTTCATTTCTGCTTCCTATCCCTAAGCCCAGCCTCAGCGGTTCCATGGAATCTTCAATAACAGTTCAAGTACCACCGCCTCCAGGAAGCCCATTCTAACCTCCTGCTGGAGTCCTAGCCCCTCTTCTTATATGAGGGGGATCGCAGGCTGAACCCAGAGCAAGAGCCCAGCACAAACCTAGCACTGTCGGCTGCACCAGTGAGTAAATCAGGTACTAAGTCACAGGATTACCTCCTTTTTGTTTGCCTCTGTGTGGGACACAGAGACCAGAATGTAACTGCTGTCAGTGAGTACATTCATTTAAAGGAAGTGGGGAATAAAAGGCCAGATTTACCTGACATAATAAGGGCCAGCAAACTATGAAATGTCCATCTGAAAGTCGAGTGGGTGAGCAATATGGAAGCAGCTATATCCTGTGCACACTAAACACTTAGCGCTTAGTCCTCTGAGACCACCTTCAGAGTCACACCACCACCTCCTGAATACCAGGCAGGAAGGACTTACTAACCCACGGCTTTGTCGTTAAATATCTTGGGAAAGCCTCGATTGGGGTATTTGCCCCGGAGCTGCCAGACATCGAAGAAAGGCTTCCAGTCAATGTAGTCCACCAGCTTCTGCAGGTTGTAGTCTTCAAAGACCCGACTCCCAATAAATGTGGGCTTCACTAGAGGAAAGTGGCACAGCTGTCAATGCCACACGAGCTGGGACAGCACTCACACCAACACACTCAGGTGCCCTTCCCTGCTCCTCACTGGAGCTTACTCCCACTCCTGCCTCCCTCCTGTCACCCACAGAAGCTGTCTCAGCAAGAGTGTAACTTTAAACGATCATGGAGAAGGAACTTGCCCATGCAGCACACTGGCTACCCCATGCTGGAAACTCTTCCCCCAACCTTTTCATCCCCACTATGTCTTAGCAAAAGGGAAGGCTTCAGTTCGCTTCTGGGTGTCGGTGGCAGTGTTAAGAGAGACTACTGCAGAAGGGCGTGTGTAGTACACTACTTATATAAAGTTTACAAACAGGAACCAAGAGCCTTCACTGCACACTGACACACACACACACACACACACACACACACACACACACACACACACACACACCAAGTGTAAAGGCATATATGGAAATGAAGCTCCAAACTCGAAACTGTGGCTACTTCTACAGGGGAGGGACAAATACAGGACTGCTGCTATGGATATCTTTGACTTTTTTAAAGAAGACTAAATAAGTTGTAAGTTATTTCTTAGGTTGAGTAATGGAAATACACAGGCATTCAGAAATCGGTCTCTACATCTCAAATCTGAAACCTATCGTAACACACATAATCCTCGGGACTCTACAGGCAGACTGTGCTTCAGACATTTCAGGACACCAAGGACACAATGCCACATGGATACTGGGCCAGAAGCCAAGGGGCTAGTGCTACTGCCAACTCTGAGTGCCCATGCCTCCCTGTGACTAGGGATCCAAGGCCTTGCTGTTCCACTGCTAGCAGCTGCTCTGCAGAACACGGGCCTCTCAGAAAGCAAGGCGAGACAGAGGAGCTCTTAACTGAGCTGGAATCGCTGCCTTCCTGCACCACAGTGACTCTTCCCCATCTGCTCTGCCATGCAGGGCCGCCCCCACTTTTTAACCATTATCATGTAGATTTGTTTGTTAATAACGTCTGCACAGTCCTCTTAGGAGACTCAAGAGAGACCGCTGACACCTCAGACCAAAGAGGAGACTCAAGAGAGACCACTGACACCTCAGACCAAAGAGGCCTCCTGCTAGGAGGCAGGCAACGACCTGCAGGTGTGGAGTCCCTGAGGGTAGGGCTGCTCTTGATCAAGCTTCATGCCAGAGTTCCAAGGCTGCTTCAGGCTCTACTTCCCAGAGCCTAGAGAGAAAGCCCTGCTTTCTTACTGGTTTTACTTCATACAGCTCCCTGAAGACAAGTGGGCTATCCTCAAAACATTCAAAGGCCATACCTTGGGACCCCAGATCCCTCAGGCAGCAGGCTAGAGCCTAGTGATGTCATCATATGGGGGCTAAAAAGGTAATCCAGGAAGTATCTCCACCATTACCAGGCATCATGGGCCTTCTCAGGGTCATTTCTAGCAAAATATATATTTGGGTGTATGACTTGCCCTGGTGCCTCTATAATTTCAGAGTAAAAGACAACCAGCGAAAAGCTACAGCATGGACTCTGTTGTAGTGATTTCTATTTCTTCAAAGGTTTTCACATTAGTGTCTTATTTTAACCGTTCAACATTTCCATAAAGTAATCCCCCTTTATACTTCAGCGCCTATCAAATGTAGAAGACAGACACTCAAGGTCACACGGTGAATCAGAGCCAGGAGCCAAGCCAGGATGAGCAGCCGGGCCTCCCAGCTCCCAACGTGGCACTCTTTGCACTAACCCACACTGAACCCAGCAGGAATGAAATCAGAACTGAGCACACCTCCATTTCCAATTGAATCCTCTCGACTCTGCTGAGCATGTGCAGAACACAGATGTCATGAGCACTGAAAGCTGGATTCAGACATTACCTTGGAAATACGGATTCCGTTAAGAGAATCCCCCTTCACCCTGTCTCGGTTTTACATTTGTGCCTCATGTCTCTCTGAGCCTGTCAAAACATCTTACGCATACTATTCCCTTGTGAATACCTATGTAAGGTAAGAAAGGTAGCTAGAAATAAAACGGGAAGAAACCACATAAGAGAAATTAAAAGGGAAGCATCCAGAGACAGAACAAGAAGGTGAAAAAGGATCCAGCTTTGCTGCAGTTTTTCAAGACCTGTGAATGTAGTTATTTTATATTTCGGACATTCAGTGAGTCCTCTGGCCTGCATGCAACTCAGGTCAGCCGAGGAGGCTCACTCAAGCATAGCCCAGAGAAGCACCGAGGCTACAGAAGACAAACCTGATGGTAGAAGCTGGACAACCATTCATGTTACTGTCTGAAATCCACGTTTCTTCAATTAGAATAGAGACAATAAACATGCTTGTTACAGAGTCATCCAAAGGACTCAGGAAGCCGTGGTGAATCCATCTCACAACAGTTTGTGGCACTCAACAGGTCTTCCTATCTACTTTCTTTTAAATGAGGGTGACTTATTACAACACACAACTGAGAATTACTCGCTTGCAGGTTCATTTGCAGCCGAGTAACTGCAAACATTCCTAGACATTGTCAGTTATCACACTTAAGTTGTCTCCAGCAACAGCCACAGACCTGGGTGAGGTTCAGACAGCCAATCAATGTGGAAACCATTTTTTCTGGCTTGACTTAGGGGTAAATATTTTCTCTCCTGTTGAAAAAAATAGTAATTTAGTCAGAACCTGTTAGCTTTTCTATCTCTACAATGAAAACATAACCAAGAAAATTTTGCAAACAAAACAAATGAATAAAACCAAATACTTTTAAAGAGAAATCCTTATCTTTCTTATCCAGTATTGCTTCACACTGCCACCAGAATAGAACACGGTAAAGAGTGACATGTGTTCACTGTGGTTGTAAGATTAACCCTGCAGCCCTGACCAGTTCTTTCAGGACACATGGGCTTGGAGTTAACTGCCCTGCCCAAACTACCCTGAGGACCAGAGCAGGGTAGACCCACGGAACTGCCAGCTGTAGGCAAACAGGAGACTGGGAAGAAGCCATGAGCAGCACCTACGGCTCTCCAGCGCCTCAGAAACACATCAACTCTTTATTCTCTCATTCACATTCCGAGCAACTCTCTTAATGCCCCACACAAAGAAAATGCAGACAAGCATAGGACTATCCTAGTAACTTCAAAGGGTAATTATGGAGTTCCTGAAGCCTAGAGGGACTGTTCCTGGCACATGATTCTGAATAGCAGACAGGATCAGGCTAATAACCAGGAGAGGCTTGAGAATGACCTGGTTAACATCTCCCCTTTCTTCCATTTTCCCTCAACAGTGAGTCTGAGAATACCATTTTAGAATGGTTTAGCTCATATTTTTGGGATGTCTAGGAGCTCATGTTTTACTTTCTCATAGGCCTAGTGTCTGGCATACAGCCTAATACTTACTGAGGATCCAGAATGTTTGCCTTCATACAGTTAAAAAAAAAATTCCCAAGTATTTTGAGATATAGTCTTGCTATATAGCCCAGGCTGGCTTCAAACTCATGATCCTCTTGCCCCCATCTAAGTGCTGGGATTATAGGTATACAGGTCCATTCCCTACTTATAATTCATTAAAATATTTAATTTTCCGGGCGGTGGTGGCGCACGCCTTTAATCCCAGCACTCGGGAGGCAGAGGCAGGCGGATCTCTGTGAGTTCGAGGCCAGCCTGGTCTACAGCGCGAGATCCAGGAAAGGCGCAAAGCTACACAGAGAAACCCTGTCTCGAAAAAACCAAAAAAAAAAAAAAAAAAAAATTTAATTTTAAAAAATCAGAAATTTAGAAATACCAAAGAATTCAAATTTGTACTAGGAAATAGGCCTCTCTCAAAGGACTCCTCAAAATAGTCAATAAAACCCATGAAAAACCATAGATCACTCTGATTTGAAATGAGCACAGACCTGCTTTTATCACTTACCTTGAGAGACTCATAGTGGTCCTGTCTAATATCTTCATATTCTTCCAGTATTTCTTCAACATAGTCATCTTTCAGATTTTCATCTAACAGCTGAGAACACTGAAATGCAAGAGAAAGTTCAACAACCATAAGGCAGCCAAGGAAGATCAACTCTACTGAGGCCCGGTGAGAGGGCTCAGTAGATAAAGATGCTTGCTGCCAGCCTGACAACCTGACTTTAATCCCTAGGACCCATGGTTACATGGGCTTGGGATACATGGGGCTGGAGTTAACTGCCCTGCCCAAACTACCCTGAGGACCAGAGCAGGGTAGACCTGCTCTAGAAGAAGAACCAATCCCCACAAGTTGTCTCTGACCTCCATACACATACTGTGGTGGCGGCGGCGGGCGGCGGCGGCGGTGGCACCACCCCCACCCCCACCACCACCACCCCTCCCCTTGCAATAACACCTCATGATACACTCAATTCAGTGTAATAGTGATTACTGTATAAATTCCATGTAAATAAATACACAGATCTGAATTTTTCCTTTCAGAATACAGCATAGAAACTGTGGTCACTGTCATCCAGTCTGCACGGTGTTGCTGGAGTCCCCCAGATCACCAGACCCTTCAGTAGTATTTCTTCCCTACAAAAATCCCTGGAGTTGTCAAACTATGCTTTCACTGAAAACTACAAATGAGACTAAGGACAGAAGAGTCCGCTTAGCTCTTTTCTACCTTACACTGAGTTTCTAGGCAAGCAACTTGGAAACTGAAGGACCATGCGGTCTCTCACATGTCCCCCAGCTGGTGTTGCCTATTATTCAGCAAACACAGGAGAACGGCAATCAGGATCCACTAGAGGACAAGGGCAGGGAAAGACACCTGGGCAAGGCTTTTTGTTATGTTCAGTGAGGAGCTATCTATTACTGTTGGTTTTGAATATCTGGTGACTGCTTTCGGTTGAGTCAGCTGGCCCTATCAAGTGTTCTTACATCTGGAACAAAGTCATTTTAAAACTCCTACATTCCATTTAATTCTAGCAATGGCCAAAGAAATTGACTCATATCTGTAAATGAAAGGCATCTGTCAATCTGGTCAGATGCCCAAGTGCCAGGCACCTTTGGTGCCATCCTTGAGCTGTTGCTCAGTTCGGTCAGCATCCCTAAAAGCACCAGACATGCCAACGGGGCTTACTTCCAGCGGGGCAAGCCCTGCAGCGGCACACCATGACCTTTCACATGTCACTTCACCTGCTCTTTCACATGTCTGCAGTAGAACTTGTCAAAACAAAGTGGGTCTCAAGTGATACCTAAGCTCTTAGTGCTTTCTCTGTCCCCTCTTTAGAACGCACTTGAAGTAAAGGAAGGCCCCACACTCACCACCACCACACTCTTGGATGCATCTAGGACATGGATTACAGGTGCACTGTATCGTGGTGCTATTTTAACTGCTGTGTGGGTTCTGAAAACAAGGGTCAAGAAGAAAAGCATATCCATCAGTGCTGACAGCTCTTTGCTCAGACAACTCATGTTCAGAACCATTAGCGATAATATGTTTCTAAAGTATTTTCAAGAGCAATCTTCAAGGTACTTACTTACAAATATTGAACTTCAAATTTCCCTTATAAACCAAGAAGGACTATTTCCCATCCTGAGATGAGAAAAACAAGGTGAAATGACATAAACTGATAGGCCTGGCTCCAAGGGAGTCTGACAAAATGAGAAAGGTTTGTTCTTAGTTATCTGCCAACAAGGAATGAGTTCCAGCCCAGGCACTCATCACAGCCTGCTTGAGCCAAGGGAGGAACACAGTCCCTGGCAGTCACACCCTACTGTCATCAAGGTCAACTTCCTCCCTCCAAATGAACTGGGAGAACAGCCAGAGCCCTGGGGAAGCAGGAAGCAGGCAGAAGACACAGGACACGGATCTGACCGCTGCTTCCTCTTTGAGAGAGCCATCTATACACTGGCCTCAACCCCACTTCTACTTGTAAAAAGAAACCCCAGACCTGAAATGCAACAAAAACAGAACAGAAAGAGGCCAGCGCTATAGCTCACTGTAACTCTTGCTACAATGCAGAAAGCCCTAGTTTCAACCCCTAATATCACAAAGTGAATCAATTCATTTAAAACAAAGCATAGAAGTAACAAAATACTTCATTCTAAGATTTGCTCAGCCCCAAGTTTCCATTGCCAAACTTTAACATGCAGATACCAGGAACAACCTTTAATTCTTTTTGTTTGGTTGGTTGGTTGGTTGGTTTTTCGAGACAGGGTTTCTCTGTGTAGCTTTGCGCCTTTCCTGGAACTCACTCTGTACCCCAGGCTGGCCTCGAACTCTCAGAGATCTGCCTGTTTCTGCCTCCTGAGTGTTGGGATTAAAGGCGTGCACCACCACCACCCAGCTTAACCTTTAATTCTTAAATATCACATTTAACATGTTAAACATATTGTCCTGATTGGTAGGTGCTTATGGCAATGGTGGAGGCTATGTATCAGCAATTTCATTAAGAAATATACAAAACTGAGAACTGGAAACAAATATAGCCTCACTTTAAGTGGTTTAAGTGGGGCCTGAAGAGGGAGAAAAGTGGCTCACAGGATGGCTTACAGAAGTTCCCGCCATGTGTTTCCTGTTCTTTCCTTCTTCCAAATCAGGCATTTTCATATTCTTTCCCTTAGTCAAAGTGTATTGTAATCTTTTCTTTCATATCATGGCCTAGTCTAGAATGAAAGTATTTTATATAAACACTGGTGCTGTTAAGCTGGTGCTTTGACAGGGCTGGTGAGGTGGCTCAGCCAGTCAGTGTGCTCGCTACACAAACCTGACCACCTGAATTCATGCCTGGAGCCCACATAAACATAGATGAAGAGAGCCTGTGAGATGGTTCAGTGAGTAGAAGGCACCCACTGCCAAGCAAGGTGGCATAAACTCAACCCTTTGGACCCACAAAGTAGAAAGAGAAACTCTTGTGCCCCAAGTTGTCCTCTGACCTCCACGTGCACACCATGGCATATGCACACCCAAGAGAACCAACTCTACAAGGTTATCCTCTGACCATCGCGCGCGCGCGCGCACACACACACACACACACACACACACACACACACACACACACACACACATTTTTAAAAAACAAAGGAGAAAAAAAAAGATGATAAAATCAGAAGTAAGAACAGATCTAAAATGCATTCCATGAAATTCTATACACACCCCTACATTTTAAGCTTCCCTAGCAAAAGCTCATGGTCAAAGTAAAGAGGAAGATAAAATCACCTTACTTCCGAGCAATTAAATACACACACACACACTCAGAAAATTATCTCTACCTTAGAGCAAAGTGACTTTCCCTTAAATTTAAGAAAAAAAGGCAATTGCAAAACCTACTTTGTAGTTGTACTGGCTCGTTTTGTGTCAATTTGACACAAGCTAGAGTCATCAGAGAGGAAGGAGCCTCAGCTGAGGAAATGTGTGGTGTGGAATACTCCTTTACACTGTGTGACTCTATGTCACTGTGATTGGTTTAATAAAGAAGCTGACTGGCAAATGGATGGACAGGATAAGGTCAGGCAGGTGAAACAGACTAAGGACATTGGGAGAAGAAAAGGAGTCGGAGGAGTCACCAGAGAGACATGGAGAGAAAATAGGAGGTGCAAGATGATGCACGTGGCAGAATGTAGATTAATATAAATGGGTTAAAACAGTAAGAATTGGCTAGTAACAAGCCTGAGCTACTGGCCAAGAATCTATAATTAATATTAAACCTCCTTGTGGTTACTTGGGTGTAGCTCCTGGGACACCGAAAAACCCTGTCAACAGAAATGCCGCCATGAGATCCAGCTGTAAGGCATTTTCTTAGATAGTGATTGACAGGGGGAGGGCCCAGCCCATTGTGGGTGGGGCCATCCCTGGGCTGGTGGTCCTGGGTTCTTTAAGAAAGCAGGCCAAGCAAACCATGAGAAGCAAGCCAATAAGCAGCACTCCTCCATGACTTCTGCACCAAATCCTGCCTCTAGGATCCTGCCCTGTTTGAGTTCCTGTGCTGACTTCCTTTGGTGATGAGCAGCAATGTGGAAGTTTAAGATGAATAAACCCTTTCCTCCCCAGCTTGCTTTTTGGTCATGGTGTTTCATCACAGCAATAGAAACTCTAACTAAAACAGTAGTAATTGGCTACACGTTAAATTTAACAGATGACTTTCAGAATGTATACCCTGTGAAGTTCTGCCCATAACAAAGCCAGATTTCCATGAAGTTCCTGTATGTGATACCACATCACCCACACTGCAGATAGAATAACGGGTTTAAATGCGACACTCCAAGTATATTCCCACCCATCTCTGACCCCTACCTTCAGTTCTCTAAAGACCCTCTACTGGATGGTCATACCTTGTACTCAAATGTTTGGGAACACAAGTCTGGTTCATGCTGTTACTGGAAAAGTCATAGCTTATCACCCTCAGAAATCTGTCTCATAAAATCATACAAGTCTTGAGCTGTCATCTGGCAAAGGGAAGAATTAGGTACTGCTGAACCCTCAACCATGTGAGGAGAAACAACCAGGTGTCTGAGGAGGGCTTTTTTCTTTTGTCTGGTGGCTCTTATAATAAAATGAACCAAGTAGTCAACTTCCAATCAGCACAAGTAACAAATTCTTGACCTTAATGAAGCACACTATGATATAAAAATATTTTAATTATGAATCCAGCATCCCAGGTGCATAACTCCTAATGTAGAGATTTAGTATATTACATAATCCCAATTTTTAAGTCTTTACTTTGACAATAGTCCATAGGTTCTATTGCCACTTTCCACACTAAGCAAAAGACTAGGTTAAGTTCCTAAAGCCCAAGTTATCTACCAGGCCTATAGGTCCAGACCTATAGTTCCAGCTACTTGGAAGCTGAGACAGAGGACTGCAAATTCCAGGCCATCCTGGGCTACAGGCAAGTTCAAGACTAGGCAATTTAGTGAGAACCTGTCCCAAAAGTAAAAAAATAAAAGATTTAAAGTAAAAAAGGGGGCTGGGGACATAGCTGAGTCAGAGATCTTGCCTAGCATGCACAAGCCCTAGGTACCAATCTCAGTACAGAAAGAAAACAAACACACACACACAAATAAATCCTCTTTATCACTGGCCAGTCAGATCCCTTAAGAATAATTCTGCCACTTGGCTAGTAAGTCAGTCCTTGGTAAGAAACAAATCTAATTTTCTAATATCAGCAACAATGGCCAAATTATCATATCACTTTAATGAAAAGTAATTAATGGATAAAGATGTAAACATTTTGCTACTTGGGGAAACTCTCCCTTCACATTATAAATAATATGATAGTTAATTCTATGTGTAAAATTGGGTATGCCACATTAGTCAGTTTTTGATCACACTGCATGCAGTCCAAATGTTGCTCTGAGGGTATTTCTTAGTTGCAATAAATATTTAAATCTGTAAATTCAGTAGATGGTTCTCCATAATGTGGGTTAACCTCATCAATCAGCTAAAAACCTTCAGAAAAGTATTAAGCAGTTTCATTAACCCCCTGCCTTTTGTGCAAAGAACTTCTGCCTGAAGACTGTCCTCAGACTAGGACAGCAACAGCAGCTCTTGCCTGAGGCTCCAGGCACACTCACATGAGGCAATGACTCACAAGAAGTCTCTCACTCTCTGAGGAGCTCTAGAATCCCTAGGACCACAGTATTATTTTACTTTTGCACTAGAAAAAACAAACAAACAAACAAACAAAAAACCCTGCACACTGTGGGACCACCAAATTCAATGTTCCAGCCTGATATTATCCTCTGCCAACCATCAAGTATCTGTGATGTAAGAAATCCTGCAGAAGCCCAGTGTCTCTCGCCATGACCACGATCTTAGGCAGAACTTAGACCAAGCACTGCCCATGTAACTCAGTGTGGACATTCTCCTCTTTATGCCTTTCATCCTAAAGTTCTCCCAAGTCCTCCTCTTGGAAACAACTCCTCCAACTGACCTCCTAGTTCATTTTCATTAGTGTGTCGTTATTACAAGGTTCGAGTGTCTTCACAAAATTTATAATTACTTAGCATGACTCCTGCTTGAACAGAGTAGGCAGAAGTTCAAGCAACATCTTTCTGAAATAAAAAACAAAACAAAACAAAACAAAAAACACCACCACAGTTTTGCTATTCAGTCTGATTCCAAGAGGGTAAAGAGTACATTACAATTCTTAGGAGCTGCCTGGAAGACAAGAGGATTAAGGAAAAGACAACTACAAGCCAACAGAATCCAAAACAGGGCCAGCAGAGGGACTCACAAAGCAGTCCCCAGAGCAGGCTCCAGAAGCTTTCTCACACTTCCCGTGAAAGAATGGGAAGCTGCGCCAAGGAGACAACTCGCGAAGCAAAGGAGAGAACAGCAGCAGATTTTCCCACGGTCATGAAACACCGGCATTTAGGAGAGTTCAGAGTGAGTATAAAGGTTATCATGCTGACTTACCTTGAAGTGGTTGCTCCTCCTATCAACAATGGAATCTTTATAGCCAACCTCTCCATTTCCTTGGCAACAAAAATCATTTCATCCAGGGATGGAGTGATAAGTCCTGACAAGCCAATTATATCTATTGTCAAAAAAAAAAAAAAAAAAAAAAAAAAAAGAATTGACCAGTGATAATGAAAAAAAGAGAAAAGAAGACCACTTTTTAAACATTTTGGACTGAAGATCAGAAAACCTATAACGTCAATTTATAATTCTAGGAATTTAATGTTTGCTTTGGGTAATAAGAAGTGTAACTTAATTGTGCAGCAACATAGTTGTAACAGAGTTAGGAAGCCACATAACAGAAATTATCTCTAGTTTATGATACTCTCAGACTTGACCATAAAAACAACTACACAAAAGGGAAAATCCAACCCAGCTGTTTTCCTCTAAGAGGCCAGTCCACTCCACCTCTAGAACTCAGGAGGCCCATGGAAACTCACACACCTCTTTCAAGCCCCAACACCCTGCACTGGAGCTGGCTGCCTGTAGGTCCCTCAGACCCCACATAAGCTGGGCTTTACCATTCTCCAACAGACTCTCAGGAGAATAATGCTGAATGCTACACCCAGGAGACTGAGGCACAGTACCTGCTTTGTGGTCAAGAGCAGCTTGAAGTATCTTATCACAGGGAGTCATGACTCCTAAATCAATAACTCTGTGGCAAGAAACGAGATGTCAGAAAATTAACAAGAGCACATAAGAGACAGAGCTGAAATGAACATTTTAATGTTAGCCACTAAATGCTGCTCTAATGTAAACTGGAACCATAGTACCAGAGGTCATCCACATGAGTTTCTTTTAAGGAGAATAATGTTCTATTGTGTGAATGGATTACATACTATAGTTTCAATCTGAAATGTGCCCCAAAAGACCAGCATTTTGAAGGCTTGGCTCCCAGCTTGGCATTTTTATTAATTTTTATTCTGTGTTATTGAAGCAGGAGCCCTGTGCTTTCCTTGTTCTTTTTCACAACCCAAGTATTAACAAGGCTTTTGCAGGACACTTCTCACCATGACGTGCGGTGTTGCCACAGGACCAAAAACAAGGCCAACAAGGGGCTGGAATCTCTAAAAATTATAAGCCAAAACCATCCTTTCTTCTAAGTCATCACAGGTATCTACTACAGTGACAGAGAACTGACTGACACACTGCATCCTCTTACCCATTCATCTACTAATACAAACCTGGGTTGTTTCCACTATATTGTGATTATTGAGTGGCAATCTGGACCCTCCCCTCAACTCTGTGTCACAAGTACTACTCCACACCCAATTTAATGAAAAAGGGATCATCTAAGACAAGGTTCCATCACTCGATTGGCAGTAGAGTTGGGATATGAATCAGAAACTAGGACAAAACTCATTACCTTATCCTTTCAGGCCAAAAAAAGTACTGATGGGAGTGAGTAGAGAGGATGAGCAGAAGCAGGTAGTCCCTGCACTTGTGGGGCAGCTGCTGGGCAAAGATCATACTTAAGGCAAGGAAGGGAAGAGAAAGTGACTCGGAGACATCACCAGGAGAGGTCCGCAGGTCTTGAACAGAAAGACAACTCTCGTGGGCACACGAGTTGGAGGGGAGTTGAAGGGCAAGCACCGAGACAGAACAGGGAGCAGGGTCTAGGGAAATGGGTCAGCAGTTAAAAACCCTTGCTACTCTTGTACCCATATTAGGTGACTCACAAGCCCCTGTAACTCCAGCTCAAGGGAATCAAATGCCCTATCTCCAAGGTCACCCAAACACATATACCTAAGTAAAGATAACTATTTAAAAAAAAAAAAAAAAAAGGCGGGAGTGAGGGGTGGCAGAATAATGCCAAAGAATTTCAGAGAGGTACACAACCTGGAACTCACAGAATCTAGAAACTCTCTGGAGATTTCTACCTATAACTCTTCCATGTTATGTTGAGAGAGTTCCCATTGTGTATTTTTTCACTTAACCTTATATCTGTTAGATGATTTAAAAATTAGAGCATGTATTTTCACTTATTTTATTGTCAGAAATTCTTGAAAACAAACCAAAATTGACAAGTGTGGTAGTACATCCCAGAATTCAGAAGGGTGAGGCAAGAGGACTGTCATGAATTGGAAGCCAGCTTGGGCTATATCTAGCAAGTTTCAGGATAGTCTGGGCTATACAGTGAAACTCTGGTCTTAAACAAAACAAACAAAATGCTTAATTTTTTTTTTTTTTTGAGTTCACTTAAGAACATCTCTAGAACATAACATCAATTGTCAATAGTGAGTGCTGAACACAGAAGTGGGAAGTAGGCTTGCTTATCATTCTTATGCAAACCCTCTTATACTGATGGATTGGTATCTTGTCCCTGTATTTCTTTTTACAAGAGGGTTTTTTTTTTGTTTTTGGGTTTGTTTTTTTTTTTTTAATTAACCAACACTATGGAACCAACAAAAAGTGAGACAATTCCAGTTGACAACAAGTACACTGTGCTCTGTTAGTGCTGACCAACAGCAAACAGATTCTGGAAGGTGGTGGCAGATGACCTCTCAGGCTACTGTGATTTTTAATGCTGAAGAAAATCTAGTAATGAAGGATCTTTTGTTTAAGATGACTAAGTATACACTGCTCAATATAAACTAGGTGCAAGAGCAAACAGCTTTTTTTTTTTTTTTTTTTTGGTTTTTCGAGACAGGGTTTCTCTGTGTAGCTTTGCGCCTTTCCTGGAACTCACTTGGTAGCCCAGGCTGGCCTCGAACTCACAGAGATCCGCCTGGCTCTGCCTCCCGAGTGCTGGGATTAAAGGCGTGCGCCACCACCGCCCGGCTGCAAACAGCTTTTAAATCAAGACAAAAAGCATGCACCACAGAGCTCTTTACAGCACTGTATTACATTTTTGACATTTTCTACCTTTTAATGGCTGAACTGTCTCTCCAGCCCTGTATTATGTTTTTAAATCTGATTAAAAATCATCAGAATAATGACAACAATTATCTTGCTCTCACTGTTCTCTCCCGTTTTATCTTGTTACTTTTGGGTACATCTTACATGCGTAAGACAGGACAAAGGACAGAGACTAGAGAGCACACACCCAAAGCAGTAGAGGGGCTTCTCAAACCCAGTGTCAAGAGCCACCATCACACAATGGAACCCGTACTTTTTTCAACTGAGCCCAACTGGAAATTGGCCTGTATTTCTCAGAGACTGATTTAATTAGCAGAACAGGATCCTGGCAGCTCTGAGATTACACCCTGAAAAAAGACCTTGTAGATCAGGGCAAGAACTACGATTCTCTGATAAGTTACTACAGGAGTTGAATGGAGGAGTAAGATTGGTTGCAGTCAAACAGATTCACTTGGAACCAGAGAAGCCCAGGGGAAAAGCAGAAACTGGTTAGGTTGCTACACACCGAGACACCTAACAATAGTCTGGCCCAGTTTAGAAGCAGTTATGGGTGGTGAGCTGGCCATACCCTGCAAACACTGTATTACATGAAGCTGGGGAGAAGAGAAGCCAGGAACACCCAAGGGTTTGGTATGAGCAGTGTTTTGAAACGGGTGAGTTAGGGAGAGGTGTTCTTAAGATGATAGCAACTAACTCCATTTCCAAAATATTAGTTTGCTATTTCAATTCAAATAGAGCCCTTTAGGCAGTTACATGAACATCTGGAGTCTGGGAAGAGAGATCCACACAAAGACAACGGACCTTATCAGAGTTAAGACACTAGATAGATGATGAGGCTGAGCCTGTCCTGGGCCTGACTACTTGGGGCCCATTCCTGTACCTGGAGCACCAATGCTATCAGACAGCTGCCTGGAAATAAAGGACTTCCCAAACCTACCCTCCCACCAGACCTGAGTCTCCATAAGATACGATGAGAGGGGAAATGAAAGGTTAAGAAGCATCATTTTAGACAGGGGAGAAACCCAAGGGCTGAGCCTGGAGGCATTCTTGTGTTTGAGGATGATCAGAGAAGAAGGAGCCAGAAGAAGAGTAATGAGCACTGGTCAGTGAGGCAGACTGAGGACAGTGAGCAAGGGGACTGGGAAGCAATGTCATCCTGCAGTTCTTAACCTGCCTTCAAGAAGTCTTGCTGGGAAATGACTGAATACACCCCTGGAGTATTTCCAATTTCTACACACAGAGCTTAGGGCCTCACAAAGGCAGTCCCTCCCAGCCTTGAGTACCAATCTAGCACTGAGGCTGTCCCAGGGCATCTCCAAGGGCACACCAATGAACTGCCTAGCATATTTGAGAAACAGCTGAATTAGACATGCATGACAACTGCCCCCATAGAGTGTTCCAGTGGGCACAGAGACCGTTCAGACCAAACAACAACTAGAGGCATCTCAGGGGCACCAGAGCTACGCTTTGAAAACTGAAGCAGTAGTACCAGCTAGGTGCAGGGAAGAAAGGGCAGCCCAGGCTGATCCTACACCATGATGGTTTGGGGCCATGACCAGCTAAAACTCCATGAGCTTCCTGGGGCCTAGAGGTGGGTACGACTAGTCTACCCCTGCCATTCCCTCTCACCCCCACTCTGGTCTCCTCCTGTTCACCCACTTCCTTTACCATCCCTTGCTCACTCTGAGTGGTGTACACCCCATGTCTGTGGGTCTCCCCTAGGTATAATACTGTTTCCTGCCACAGAAAAGACTAAAAAGAAGGAAGAATGAAAACTGACCTATGTCTGGTGGTATACATCTCAGCCCAGCACTTGGAGGGTTAAAATAGGAAGAACTCCAGTTCCAGGCCACCCTGGACGACACAGTAAGACCCCGCGTGAAAAGAAGGAAAAGTGAGGAGGGGGAAGAAAGGTGAGGAAGAAAGCTGTGAAAATTGTTACTTTTCCAATGTTCTTCCTTGGTGTTTAGAACAGAGCTCTAAGAGCTGGTAAGAGGGCTCAGTGGGTAAAGGGATTTGCCACCAAGCCTGACATCCTGAGTTCGATTCCTGGAACTCACATGGTAGACAAAAAAAATCAACGCCCAAACAAGTTGTTACCTGATTTCCACAAGCACTAGTGTGTATATATACACATATATTGTTTTTAAAGTATTTTTAGAAAGAGCTTTAAGTACACATTGTACTTGGGATTTAAATTCAGAAAAAAACAGAAGCTACAAAACCTGAGTTACTAATGGTGTCCAATAGTATTTTAAATTACACAGAATTTACAAAATAGACAAAACTAGCTCTTTTCCTCTTCAGAAGAAATCACAAAGAAAAGTAAAATTGTGCATATATAGCCAAGATGACTTAAGCCTCCACCAATGGATAAACAGGGAAAGAAAATGTAACATACGCATGGAATGAACTGCTATTCAGCCAAAAAAAAATGGAATTCTGTCATTTGCAGCAAAATAGATGGGGCTGATGGACATTACGTCAAACAATCCAGACACAGAAATATGACCTCTCTCATGTGAAGAAACTTAACGTATAAGTTGACCTTAAAGTATAAGAAAGTTGAAAAGTAACTAGCAGAGGCTAGACGGGGTGAGGAGAGGAAGATAAAGAGCAGCGGAGCAGACTTAACTCCCACAGTTAAGCAGGAGAAATGAGTCCCACGTTCCACAGCAGTGCAGGCGCTACTGGACACAACACCTGCTGCGTATTATGAAGAGCTGTGAGGGGAGGGTGACGCCTGCACCTCAGTAAGGACACAAGAGACAAACGCTTGCTCAATACACTGTGTAGTCATGTATTTTCATGTCACACTTTATAAATATGTAACTTAGGAAGATGTAGTCCATGTCAATTAAAAAATAGCAGAGAGGTAGAGGAAGGAAGGGAGAAGGGAGGGGTACAAATGAAAGAAAACTCAACAGCTGTTTAGCTGTACTAAACAGCAGCTCCTCTTGCAGGGACCTGATGGTGCCTATCACTTCCTGGCAGCTGCCCCTGCAATTCACACATCCTACCACTAGATGGAAGCATCCTACCAGTCCAGCACCCAGCTGTGATTTTTTTTTTTTTTTCTTCCTTTGTTTCTTTTTTTTTTCCCCTCTTCTACTTGAGGGTTAAAAAGTACTCACAGGGCCTACCTCTGTTGCTCCCCCCCCCCCTTTTCTTTCCCCCACTCTAAATCTGCATCATTTGAAATCCTAAATCTGGGCCATACCTTTTGGTGGAAACCCACATAAAATGACCTAGAAGGAAATGTTTGCTCTCTGTCTACTTGCCTGTGCTGGCCTGAAACTCACCATGTTGATCCACTCACCTCTGTATTTGAGTGCTGGGATTAAAGACATACACCACCACACCCTGCCCATTTCTATTTTTAAAAAAACTAAATTTTTCAAAGTCCTTCCATCAAACCATGACAAGTGAAAGGCCTCTAAATGACTGATGATCCTGTAAGGTGCTGAGAGAGGCTGGATTAGCATCAACTGCCCTTGACTTATAGCAGTTTTCTGTTGATAGCAGATTTTCTTATATAACTAGTGTTAAATAGGGAAAGTACATAATTGTCTTCTCCATAGCTGAGACAGTATATCTACTGTCTCAACTGTCATGCAATCAATAATCTGATCAAAAACACTTCTGAATATTCTAACTTATTTCTCCATGGAAATTTGGAATACATTACAGTTTAAGTTGATACAGGTCAAAACAATACTGGCAGCTAAGTGACATCACAGAACAAAGGCTGACTTGTCATTTTAATGAATAAAAAATAGGTGGTAGAAACCACAGTCCTGATTTTTCAGGGTAGGAAAGAATGCTGTCTTCAAGACAGGCTGGAAAAAAAGGTAGAAAGACTGTCCATGGGGAAGCTGCCTTCCTGACACAACCGGCCTCAGCCTTCCCGAATGGAGTCTAATCAGTGTTCCAGACAGAGATGGGTCAAGTGTTGAGGGGAGAGGCTGGGAGGGCTCACTGTTAGCTGACCAGAAAAGAGAACACAAGAGGGCATAACCATAGCACCAGCAGACTTCTCCATCCGAGAAAAGGCACAGTGGAAAGCAGCCCCGACTCCAAAGGACTGCTGGCCAGACATGGACCAGGACAGGCATTAGTGATTTTTCATTGAGCTATACTATCAAGTGAGGAAAATATAAACTTAATATAAGTTTATATTTCCACATTAGCTTATGTGGAAATAACTTTGTTATGAATATTTATTCATTATGAGATAGCAAAAAGAGGTTTTACCTGAATATATCACTCCAAAAGCTACATCATCACTGTGATGGCTAATCTTGGTTGTCAACTTGACTACACTTGAAAGTATCTAAAACGCAAGCAGTTTGGTGTACTTGTGAGGGATTTTTCTCGGTTGGATTATTCGAAGTGGGAGATCCACCCTAAATCTAGATCTTTGAGGTCCAAAGATTCACCTTAAATCTGGACCATACTTTCATAGTGGCAGCCCACAGAAAAGGACGCAGAAGATGAAGCTGTGCTTTCTGTCTGCTTGCCCCCACTCTAAGCAGTTAAGCCTACTTCTTTGGGATTCCAAAGTGGACTGAAACGGGTAGCTCTCTAGGACCTCTCTGGGACTCCAGCACCAGACTGGGACTGCTGATACATCCAGTCTCTGACTGAATAACTAAGGATCCTTGGCCTTTCTGTCAGGAAACAGATGGACCAGAAACTACCTGGACCACAGCCTGTAAGCCTCTCTAATAAATCCTTACTAATATATAAACATCTATTAGTTCATTCTATCAGTTCTGTTCCTTAGAGAACACTAGTATAATCACCAAGAAACACAGGACGACGGCAAGACTATTAAAGACAAAGCCCTCCTACAAAGCCAGCTCTCATAAGAACCCCGGTCTAAAACCTGGCAGTTTGCTGAGCAGAAAATGGTACGTGCTGGCCATGAGAAGCCTTGTACTGGCTGGTTTTGTGTCAACTTGACACAAGCTACAGTCATCAATGGAAGGAGCCTCAGTTGAGGAAGTGCCTCCATGAGATCCAGCTGTAAGGCATTTTCTCAATTAGTGATCAATGGGAGAGGGCGCAATCAATGGTGGGTGGTGCGATCCCTGGGCTGGTCCTGGAAGCTATAAGAAAGCAGGCTGAGCAAGCCAAGTGAAGCAAGCCAGTAAGCAGCTCCCTCCCATGGCCTCTGCATCAGCTCCTGCCTCCAGATTCCTGTCCTGCTTGAGTTCCTGTCCTGACATTCTTTGGTGACGAACAACAATGTGGACGTGTAAGCTGAATACTCTTTCCTCCCCAACTTGCTTTTTGGTCATGGTGTTTCATCGCAGCAATAGAAACCCTAACTAAGACAAGCCTGATGAGCAACTATTAGAGACTATGTCCAATACAGATTCTCAAGAAGCCTCCTGGCTGCCTGACTCTAGGGATTATGTCTTACTCTCCATGCCCTTAACAAATACCTAAGAGATACATAATTATGAACCTACAAAAAAAGCTGTGTTCACAGCTGTAGACAACATGGCCATAACCACCCCATCCCTCTCACCCAGTAAAACATTTACGATTTACATTCCTTTGTAAACATGAAGGGGATGGAGTAAAGTCTCAACTTACCGGAAATTATTGCAGCCCAGCACCACACCAACTATGTTCTTGCCTATGTCATGCACATCACCTTTAACAGTGGCCAGCACAATGGTGCCTTGGTAAGGATCCTGCAAAGTGAGGCAAGCAGTTGAGCATGGGTGGGGGGTCACCAGGGAAGACCATCTGATTCTCATGAGCCACACAGGTGATGGCAGAGGAATAAACAGCAGAACCACCTCAAAGGCAGGTAGGGGACCCAGTAACAGTCTCTACTTGGAGCTCTGTGCCTCCCAGAAGTTCAATAGAGGCCTGCCTAGCAGGTCAGCTCAGGGATTTCAACCAAGCTCACAGGTTCTAGCATCTGAAAGAGGGTCAACAGTCACAGACACAGTCCCACAGCTAAAGAACACATCCTTAACCCTGAAACTGCCAAGATATATTGCTGAGAGTTGGAAAGGGGAGTGTTGTGGAATATTTAACTATGTAAAGATTTGTTTTATTTGTTTATGCTGCAGAATATTACTTTAACTGTGTAAAGGTGTGTTACATTTGTTTCTGCTGCATTTGTTTAATTATGTAAAAAGGTGTTGCAAGGTTGTTTCACCTTGCCTGCCTAAGGCACCTGACTGGTCTAATAAAGAGCTAAGTGACCAATAGCTAGGCAGGAGAGGGATAGGTCGGGCTGGTGGGCAGAGAGGAGAAATCTAGAAAAAGGTGAGAATAAGGGAGAAAGAGAGAGGCCTGGGGCCAGCCAGCCAGATGGAGTAGGACATACAGAAGAAAGGAAAGATAAAAAGCCTGAGGCAAAACGTAGATGAAGAGAAACAGGTTAAATTTATAAGAGCTATCAAGAAACGAGCATAAGGCTGAGCCATTCATAACTAATATTAAGTCTCCATGTCATGATTTGGGAGCTGGTTGGTGGCCCAAAAGAAAGCCTGCTACAAGGGAGGAGCTGGCCAACTGCAGATTTCCCTCAAATTTTGAAAGCAGCCCAGTGCAGGGAATGTAGAAGCATCTTTTATTTTTCTAAAACAGTTCTTTTGTGCACTGACAAAACAACAAGAAAATGGAAAGGAAAGGTATGCAAGGCATGCATCATTTCTCTAATTCAGCCAACTGCAAATTTAGATTAAGAATTTAGAGTTCTAGGGACCAAAGTTGCCTGAACTACACAGGGCTCTAAATAAAGTAAAAGGCCTAGTGGTTGACTCTGGTGGTGCAGTCAGCAAGGATGACTGCTACAAGTGGTACCAAGGGTACAACCAAAGAGTATTTGGGGAAGAGCTTTCTAAAAGCAAACACGATACATTCAAAACATGAACATGGCCAACAAGATGATACAGTAGGGGAAGATCTGCTGTGAAAACCTAAAGACCTGAGTTCAATGCCTGAGTCCACTCAGTAAAGGTGGAAAGAGGGCACCGACTTTTATGAAGCTTCACTGATGAGGCTCCCAGCCCCACAAAAACAACAGTCTTCCAGGCCAGCTCCTGAAAAGACTCCAGGCCTGGACAAAATGACTTGCCTCTTCTTCAACTGAACCATTAAGTACTCTGGCTTCTTCTCTTTCTTTTTCCATGAAAGGGATAAGGTGTCCAACAGCCTTCTTCATGACACGGGCTGACTTTATAACCTGGATGAAAGCAGAGTCAAGCATCATTAGCAAACCATCACATGACTGCCACTGTTGACCTGTGGAGCTTCAGAACCAATTAAGAACGCACAATTCAACAGTCCCACATTTCTACAGTGAGCAAGATGAGGAATTAGATCCTTGTGGGGAACACCAATAAATGAGGCACAGCAAGAGGAAAACCAAACACAAACCAAAGGTTATAATTTCTGTTTCTCAACTTTCACTTGGTAGGTTTTTTTCCCCCCTGCCTAAAGTTCTTCTACTGTGTCTCTGAATTCTGTAGTCTTTTTTATTTTAAGTTCCATGTCTCAACATGATGCATCACCATTATTCTATCTCCAGGATTTTAACTCGCTTAAAATTGAGGTTTATGAAAGAAGAGGCTCTTTTAGCTTTTTATATGCTTCAGAGCCCCTAACCTAGATGCTCAGCAAGGATTTGTTAAATGATAGTTTTAAGTAGTTGCTTGAATAAAGAGTTCTATTTTTACTTAAAGCATAACATTTTTTAGTCCCACTACTTAAAAGAGTAATATATTTTCAAAATATGCATTCTTAAAGATGGTTACTGGCTTGTCAAGTCAAATGTTAGTATTAACATTACATTTATCTTGGGTAGGAACTAAGGTGAGAGGTGGCATGGAAATTCAGAACATGCAGATTATGGTACTAAGAATGTCTGCAAGCTTTCTAACCTCTACACACTCTAAAGATGGACTGGCAAGAGATGGTTCTTAAATACACCCAGAGAAGGAGTGATCAGATAACACTGTCAAGCTCCGCCTAGACTAAAAATTCAGAAAATACTCAAACTCACTATTTCTGAAAAACAGAAAAAGAGATTTGTTAAAATGTCTGTTTTGCCAACCTGAGGTAGAAACATTTTTCCAGCTCCAAAAAGATCGCCAACTACTTTCATTCCATTCATTAGAGGCCCTTCAATTATATTCAGAGGTCGGGGGTATTTTTCCTGGTTTAACCTGGCTTCTTCAGTATCTTCAACAATGTACTTTTCAATGCCCTTAAAAGAAAAAAAGAAAGAAAAAGAAGGAGGGAGAAGGGAACAAACAAGCAATTATATTAAGGTCAAAAATCAAAGAATGAATCAGGGAGATGCTTAAGAGCATGAATCCCAGAATCAGTCCGACAGAGTTTGAGTCCTGCTTCTCATCACTAATGCAGGTATTTATTAAGTTTGTTTCCTCAAAGAATCACAACAGTACCAACCCTGTGTTTATTTTGACAATCACTGTGATGCCATTTATTTACAATGTCTAGCTAGTAATAGGAAGTAACTCAAAAAAAAAAAAGGTATTAGTGAAGACAAGAATGTAGCTCAGTGTAAAGTAGGTGCTTATCATGTGTGAGGGTCTGGGTTCAATTCTCAGCAACTGATTATATGCTAGTAAATAAACATCTCTATAAAATCAGTATCTATCTGCTCAATGAGGTGTGGTGATGCATGCGTTTGATTCTAGCACTCAGGAGGCGCTAGCAAGCAGATTTTCTGTGAATTCAAGACCAGCTTGATCTACATGGTGAGTTCCAGGCCAGCCAGGGACACACAGTAAGATCCTGTCTCAAATAAATAAATAAACCAGTATCTTCTCTCACTATATATAACACTACTTAGCTAGACCAGGATTGAACACTAGAAAGGCTCTCAGGTGAAGTTTAAAAAAAAAGGAACTTTCTCCCCTTGACTTGCCTGGCCTTTGCTGACAAGCCTCTAAAGCCGAGGATCCTCAAGGACTGTAGGCGACAAATGAATAGTCCAAAAACTGAAATACGTGACTCTTGGAAGGTCTAAGAATTAAAAGTTAAATTCTAGAGCTTTTTTAAAAAAAAACACTCTGGAATTTTCCAGGCTCACAAATGTGGAAATTGATATCTTACCTAAAATTCTATCTATTGTGGAAGAGCCATTATTGTCCTGCTGACTGACCTAAAGGAACCTGGCTTAGAGAGGGTTTTCAAGCTCAGAACTACTAATTGCCTGGGCAAGTCCTTGCTGTGTATGTGAGCCTATCCTGTGCACTACAGCCACTGAGTTCCAGAGCATCTTCCACCCCATCTATGAAAACTGGACACATCTTTAGACACTGTCAAACGGCACTGGGAAACAGACCCCTGCAGGTTAGGATTCAATGGTCAAAAGTCTAGGGCAGCGCCCCCTCCACGTGCTGTCAGCAATGGCACCAGGGCGCCATGAGTCGCCAGGCTTCCTGTACAGGCTCTGGTACTCACCTTCACAAGAGCATACTCAAGACGCTCTTCAATGGAGGCATGCCTCCACTCATCTGTCTGGATGACTTTCTTCCCTCCTTTGCCATGAGTCTGAATTAAAATTAAGACCAAAAAGTAACTATAAATGATACAGAGTGAACTATCTGCAGCAAACAAAAAAAGAAAGAAAAAAAGAAAGGTCTCTTAAAAAAAATCAATTTAGAAAAGTCTAAGTTCAGAATACTAAAGCAATCTAGACAAGGTCTATTTCTCCCTCCTCGACCTAACTGCAATACCTTCTCTAAAGCACTATAAAAACCATGATGATGATGATTAATGATCCAGAGACACGAGTCTACGAGTCTACATTTGTTCCTATTCTACAATAAAGGTCCAGTAGCTACCAGTGAGTGATAAATTCTAAGGCAGGAAAAGTCACCCTTTGGATACTTTTTCCTTTACCTGGGCGTATCGTAAGAGTTTCTCCGTAGCCTCAGAGTCTCTGTTCCAGATGAGGTCTTCACAGAGCTGAAGAAGGTCCTTTTGGATATCATCATACACAGGAAGGTTGCCAGCATTGACTATGCCCATGTCCATACCAAACTAAGGGCAATATAAAGGAAAATGAGAATGTTTACTGACATCCTAAATCGGGGATCAGAGAAAAATACTTTATAATATAGCTGGTCACTATTCAACTCTGCTGTAGTGTAAAAGCAGCCCTAGACAAGACACAGGAGAAGGGATGAGGGCACCCTGTTCCAATGAAGCTTCATTTAAAGACAGAAGAGGTCAGTTATCCTGCAGGACTCTGTCTGTAAGCCTGATGTACGTCCAAGTACAGTGCCATCATTTTTGTTTCAATTCTTTGAAAAATCTTGCATATGTTTACAGTGTAATATATGTGTGTGGATACACACAAACCATGGCACATGTATGGGGGTCAGAGAACAATTCTAGGTGTTGGCTCTTGCCTTTCATTTTGTTTCAGACAGGGTCTCTTGTTCACCACTGGACATGCTAGGCTAGCTGGTTCTACAATCTTCCAAGGATTCTGTCTCCATCTCTCATTCACCAGTAGGAGCTACTACTACACTACGTTTCACAGAGGCTGTGAAATTTCAACTCAAGTCCTCGGGCTTGTACAGCAAACACTTTACCCACAGAGCCATCTTCCCAGCATCTAAGCTAAAGTTGGTTTCACCATACCTTGATGGCATGGTAAAGGAAAACACCATGCATTGCTTCTCGAATGGCTTCCATCCCTCGGAAGGAGAAGGACAAGTTAGAAAGACCTCCACTTATTCTGACTCCTGGTAATGTTTCCTGGAAAAGTGTAAAAATATGGAAAGATTCTCTTATTTTGTCAAAAGCCACCATCAGTCATACCTTGTAAGCTCTGTACAAAGGAGAAGTAAAAAAAAAAAAAGTCCAGAGTAACTCTGAGCTTATTACTAGGCCAAGAACTGCTAGTTTGCCACGTAACTGTGTCAAGTACTCTGGTTCCTCTTTTAGTTTATATATCTATCGCCTTTTATAGTGTCACTTCTAACTAAGCACTGCTTCATAAGTAGCTTTTCCTAATACACTTTAGCCTTTGTAGGAAAAATATCAAATCCTATTTTTATCTCTGACTATCTCTATAATGACCATCGTAAGGCATGAAAATGAGTTACAAGAAATGTCTGCTGGATAAATAACCCGGGGGGGGGGGGGGGGGGGGGGGGGGGGGGGGGGGGCAGAAAGCAAAAGATTATGTGCATGCCTCTATAAATGTGCATACATTCCTGACCCATTCAAAGCCGGAAGTCTTCAGTAACTTAAATGAACAAGTTCTCTAGTTCATCATCAACTTGACAAAATGCAGAAGAGCAAAGCCAGCTGAGATGCCTATGACAGTATCCAGCATTAGCCGTAACAGTAACTCTCAACACAGGCCGACGTGTCAGGAAGACAGCTTGCCATTGGCTAGCCATTCCACCCCTAAGCTACAGAGAAACTCAGGCATATGTGCTTAACTCAGGCATATGGGCCTAACATGTTAGATTGGTGCAAAAGTAATGGTAGGTTTCATTGTGGAAATTTGTTCCTTAATGTTGAAATACATTCTTGGTAAGTTTGGTTATGGTAAAAAAAAAAAAAAAAAAAAAAAAAAAAAAAAAAATGCAGTCCTGTTTTACGGGGTTTTTGTTAATGATTTATTACTTGCTCTTTTAAATATTTATTTTATACCATGTATGCCTGCAGCTGGTGCTAGTCAAAAGAAAAGGTCCAGTTCTTCCCCATGGCATCATTTGACTATACATCATACAACCAATGCTTCAAAAGTCAAGAACTGGGCTAAGAAGTCTTTGCCTTATCCACCATATTCACCTGATCACTCACCAACAGACTGCCATTTCTTCACACATCTTGATAACTTTTTGAAGAAAAAAATTTCCACAATCAGCAGGACAGAAAAAATTCTTTCCAATCCTGAAGCACTGACTTTTAAAAAAGTGTTTATTACATTTATTTATTTATTTGGAGTAGTATATAAACAAGCCAATGTGTGTGAAGAGGTCAGAACACAACTTGCAGGAGTCAGTTCTCACCTTCCCTATTATGTAGGACCTAGGGACTGAATACAGACCATCAGCTTCACTGATACCAAACGACTTTACCTGCTGAACCATCTTCACAGCCTGTAGAACACTGATTTTTTTTTTTTATGCTAGGAGAATTAAAAAATTTATTTCTCATTGGTAAAAACAAGTTGGTTATAAATGGTTCCTATTTTGATTAATGAAGGTATGTTTGAGCCTAGCTGTGATTTAAAATTTACCATCTGAAACTGCAATTAATTTTGCACCAACCTAATGCAAGAATGTTCACAACTGTGGAACAGTGAAATGGCTAGTCGTGCTCAGGCAAATAATTACACACTAGTGAAAATATAGAACAGATATAGCTATCGCAATACAAATGAAATTTAAAACAAGGCTGATGTGGGCCTGGTGGCACTGGAGAAGGGTTGGGCAGGAGGCTGATAAGTTTAAACCAGCCTAAGCTACATGGTGAGACCCGGTCCAAAAAAAAAGAAGCTGAATAGGGAGAAAACAGCATAAGCAATTTATTATTTGAATTACATTAAGCTCAAAAAGCAGCAAATTTACACTATGTGGACATATACCTAATTCTTGTAATTCCCTAATAGTTCTGTCCTCACAAGTAACACAGCAGCTGGCAGCCTCTGGTCCTATGTTCATCACCTCATCAGCATACAGCCTTGTTTTGTGTGTCTGTTAAAACATCCTATGGGCTGGAGATGGCAGAGCAGAGCGGTTAAGAGTGCAAATTGCTCTTATAAACAGACAACAGTGTACTCACATTGGCTCACAACAACCTCTAACTCCAGTGTCAGGGAATCCAATACTCTTTGGCTTTTGGGGCACTTAAATATATGTAGTACACAAAAACCCAACCAGGCACACATACATACACATAAATAAAAATGAATAAATATTTAAAGACACTTTATTTGGCATGCATATCTTAATTATTAAGACTAAACTCATGGCCAGCAGCCCTGTGACTTATGTCTGAATGAGGCTTATTCAACAAGCATTTTCTCTACTAGACACACCATAGGTGTCCTGCACTTGTGAACACTAAAAAGCACTAGCACCAGGACTGAAGGGCACTCTCAAACAGGGAAATCACAAACAAAAAGCAGAACATAAAAGGGCACTGAACAGACTCACAAGACACCTGTTTACAGAATAAGCGCTGACTGTCTCCAAGGTCATCCTCATCTGAGGATGTGAGTCAAGCCTACAAAAGGCATGTCCACGGCTGACTACAAAAGCAGCCTGAGTACTGACTCAGGTCAAAACTAAATTTTAGAGCATACACTGGCAAGCACAAAAATCAATGGATATAAATGTAAACTAGACATGCATATAATAAAATTATTATCAAAAACAATAATGAAGTCTCAGAACCATAGATATCAGAATGAAAGTTACTTCATGAAATTGAGAATAAGGCATATCCAGAAAAAGAGAGATGGGGCAGTAGCCTCATGCCACTTCAGAAAAGTGAAAGTTACTATATGGTTCATTACTACTTATCTATTATAGACTACAGACTGTATGTTTTATATATTCTCATGTGTATCATACACTATAATTAAAATAGCATTATATAAAAGTCCCTACATTTTAGAAAACTAAGGACAGGAACGTTCCTATTCTCAGCAAATCAGTATGTGTTAGTTCTAAGCGAGCACTAAACCAAGGCGATAAATTTGAGCTGTGTCTTGGATAAAGACAGCAAATACCCAGACTTACTTTAATGACTCTTGTTGCATGAATAAAATTGATAGCATACAAGTTATGTTCTTCCATTCCAGTACCAATGGTAAGAATGTTGGGGTCAAAGATGATGTCATTTGGATTGAAGCCCAGTTTTTCCACAAGTAGATGGTAGGCTCGGGTACACACACTGATTTTAACATCTGTTTCTGTTGCCTGAGAAACAAGCAGAAATGTCATTTACAATAGAAAAGCAAATTGTTGTCTATGGAAACAGCATATGTCACTTATCAAAACCACTCAAGTCTCACTGACTATTTCTTCAAAACCCAAATGTCAAACCTCTAAACATTCATCAACTTATCTCAGAAGACAATCAGTTACTTTGTCTTCAATATAACAATTTTATTCCTTATGAAAAAATTTCATAAATGATATATTAACAAAGTGGGTTTCTAAAGACAGATGTGGTTTAAAAATCAAACTCCACTAAAGACAGATGAAAAATAAGCAGCTGAGCATCACACCTGTCATTCTAGCACTGGAGAGGGTGAGGCAGAACTGTGACATGTAGGGGCCACCCTGAGTTGCATACATGAGTGTCAAGTCACTGTGGGCTAACAACGGGAAAGAGTTCCTCAAAGTGCCCCACTTCTCCTCACCTGCCTGCAATGTGCCTCTCACACAAACAACACTGCTGTAGCTTTCTTGGGTCTTCCTTCAAGCAGACTCAAGGACATGCATTTATTTACCACACAAACCTACTAGAACACATGCTTGGAACCACATGCTCAAGCTGCAACTACAAATTAGTGCTGGGCATAATGGCCTACATCCTTCATTTCAGCACCTGGAAAGCAGAGACAAGTGGATCTCTGAGTTTAAAGCCAGCTTGTTCTATACAGTGAGTTCCAGGACAGCCAGGGCTACATAATGAGACCCTGTCTCCAAACAAAAACAAAAGCTAGAAAGATGGCTTAACAGTCAAGAGCACTTACTACTCCTCCGAAGGACCCAAATTTGGTCCCCAACACCATCAAGGAGGCTCACCACTTGAATTCCAGAAGACCAGACTACTTTCTTTTGGTCTGTAGACACTGCTCTCACATGGTGTACATACATACATACTTGCAGGCAACATTCATACACATGAAATAAAGCCTTTTTTAAAAACCTACAAATTATCATCATCCTTCTGGGTAGGATCCTAAAACACAAAACACATTCTGGCAAGGTCCACCCTCCCTGCTCCTCAGCCCATCGCACTCAGCCAGGGCCTCTCCTCCACCTCGGCCCCACCATTTGTCCTCACTCCTCACTGCTCCTCTGATGTTCCTAAAACCTGCCATGCTCTTGCTACCTCAGAGGCTTTCCATTTCCATCTATTGCTGCCGGCCCAGAACACACAAGGCCTAACTATACTTCACAGCTCACAGGTACAGAGTCAGCTGTCCCTTCAGAGTCTGCCTTATCACTCCCTCCAAATCAGCACACCACCACCCTTCCCACCTCCTCCTTTCCTTGAGGTTTCTCTTTCCATATACCTTATTATTATTCTCAGTTGTTTTATTCTCTATTATTATCTCCACTAGCTAGAACATCCGTCTTACTGATCCCCAGAGATCAGAGCAGGGGCTGCTAGAATATGTGCTCAAAACGATGTTGAAGGAATGAATGAGGCAGTGAATGAATGCTACTTTTCCAAAGTGTTTCTCAGCTTTGCCAAGGAAGCTCATTTCAGATCAAATCTCCAAATGGCATACCCATCAAATTACATTAAGAATTTCTAAATGTTGTTGATCCTATGTGCTCTGGAGGTGGGCAGAAAATAAAAAACAGTAGTTCTTTCTTACCCACATTTTCCTATTTCATGGTACTAGTTACCCACTGTCATCTGCAGTCTGAAAATATTAAGTGAAAAACTCCAGAAATTAACAGTTCCTAGGTTTTTAATTTCATGCCACTCTGAAAAGTGTAAAGAAACTTCACATCTTCAACGGTCCTGCTCCATCCCACCTGGGATATGAGTCATCTTTTTGTCTAACATCCACTCACTGAATACATGCTCATACGATCCTTTCTTCATTAAATTGAGACAGGGTCTCAGTTCTGCAGTCCTGGATGACCTGAAACTTGCTATGATACCCTAGAATCCTCAGAGTCCCATCTGCCTCCACCCCTAAAGTGATGGAAATAAAGGAACCACCACACCTGGCCCATGATCCTTTACTCAGTGCTGAGCACAGGACTGGTGACGCTGACAAGGGGGATACACCAACCAGAAGCTATAAAGCACTCTCTGTAAGTAAAACCATGAAAAGTACAGGAAGGTATTTTGAGAAAAACGGTACAGTATGTTAGTTAATTTTTCACTGATCCTAACTTGCAAGTTTTACTACATAGGTATGCATGTGTAGGAAGAAGTACAGTGTGTATAGTACAGGAAAAGGTAAGGCTATGTTACTGTGCTGGCTATCACGTCATAAGAATACATAATAATTATGAGGGTCAATTCTAAATCAATGTGGAAAAAGATGTTCTTGAAACATGACTGATCTCACTGAAATACGAAGGAGCCTGCATGGTGGGAAGACCCCACTCTGGGAGAGGAGCAGTAAGGCTACTGAAGAACTGGTTCTGACCAGACACTTTCTGAACTTCAGGGACCTCATGTGATTGGAAAATAAGAAAACACAGTCTGACTCTCAGGTCAAAACGACGGGCAGACCTGCTGGTGCAGTGTCAAACAAGTGGCTGGATGTTTTCGAAAATGATATTATAATGCTGCAGGATTCAACAAACTGGGGGTAATGCGAGATGATACAACATACGAGACTGAAGATGTGAAAGAAGCCATAAGAAGGCTTCCTGCGGATCTTTATAATGACAGAATGTTTCAAACTGAGAGCCCTGGACCTGACCAGGAGGCATCAGATCTTGCCTAAGGAACAGTGGACAAAATATAAGGAGGACAAATTCTACCTTGAACCCTATCAGAAAGAGGTTATTTGGGAAAGAGAAATAAGAATGGGCAAAGAAATGATCTTGTAGTTGAGATCTGTGGATGTGCCTGGTCTGAGCATATTTTTATGAAGTTGTTTCAACCTGAATCACAATTTAAGAATTATATGCTCTGCAGATACCTTGCTTTAAATAAATGTCTATTGTAGCCATTAAAAAATATAATTTAAAAAAACAAAAAGAAAAAGAAAGGAAGAAAGAAAGAAAGAAAGAAAGAAAGAAAGAAAGAAAGAAAGAAAGAAAGCACAGTCTGGTAATTTCTATCTGAGCCAACTTGGGCACTGGATAGAGTGGGGTGTGGTGTAGCTCCCCACCTAAAACAGCACAGACATGCTCTCACAACAGGAATTCACTTCCAGGAATAGAGCAAGTACCCTATAACCTCTCTACAGGCCCTTGTCAAATTGTTCTCCTGACATCTGGCCTAGTCTCTGGCCCAAGAACAGTTCCTAGATTCTGGCCATCACGTAAAGAAACAGACCTCAGAGTAAGGTCTGGGAGAGGCCTCTGTGGGGAGCAGGCCCTATCGTACATCATGTTTGGCACTGTAAAACTCACATGCTGTTGAGTCTTGGTTACCCTTCAAGAATTCACAGCCCCACGTGAAGCTCAGCAGAACAGGATGAAGGATCTGTTAATCAGGCAGAGTTCTCAGCTATGAGGGGCTTTTGCTTGTTTGTTTCATAGTAATGGTACCCTAAACCAGCTGAATCAGAATCTTGAGGCTGGCTCCAGCAATTCAGGAGTCCTTAGTGATGTTGCCCAGCCAACACTGAGAAGATCTGATCCCTTTTAGATAGTTGTTGAAAACCCTACTCTGCAGTGGTAAATATTAAGGTCTGGATGAAACAAGAGCACTTTTTAACAGGGGTAGGGGGTGAAAGGACCCACTCAACTCTCACTCAGAGAGGGAAATTCCAAGAGTGTGCTGGAAGCTGGAGCACTAAGCTCAGGCAGTATGTCACCTACACGCTTTGCTCTTCTTCCTGTGTGATGGTAACACTGCAGGACTTGGGCTCTTCACATCTGTGAAGGTATTCTGGGAATCTCTTTCTGACACAAGGCATTTATAAGAATCATGGTTGAAATGAATTACCCTGGGAGATGGGGACAAGGGTAGAGGTGTGTGGACTAGGGTAGAGGATGATAGGAAAAACAACTGACTTATGTGCTGTGCCCACTGGGTATACAAACTAAGGTCTAATGTAAGTTAATGATAACCATCTTTCTTTGGTACTCTTCTGGAATTATTTCAATTGTTCTCAAGGCAAAAATGTATCTTGTATAAAAGTAAAAGCATTTTAATCAAAACAATTTTATTTCAAAAATACAAAAATATAGACAATATCACTTATGGTCAATATGCCCCATGGTAGACTATTCTACCCTAGTTGACACCTACCAATTTTTTTCTGTTTATACAGACTCATATATATCTACATAAATGCTTCCTGAATAAAACTGAAATCATGTCAATTACTTCCTCACACAGTCCCATCATCACATTCTTTTTTAATGTACAAGTTATCTTATGTGGCATATACCAAGACGTAAGCATTCTTCAAGTAATGGACGGCTGTGTCAATTTCTGACTACCACAATACTACAGTGGAAGTGAGCACGTGGCTTTACATGTACAACCTATCTTAAGACCTAAGGAGAGGGTTCATCATAAGCACTGGAGTTTTTTCTGCTTAACAGATTAACTATCGATTAACTATCCCATGGACATTTACGTACTTCTGAAAGTTAACATGACCTATAAAGAACAGTACTGTAGAACCAATGCATATGTATCACTGGGAACTACCATGATATGTACAGCTTCCATAGCCTCAACCTGGCTCTGCAGCACAGATGTGAGATGCCATTTATCAATCTTCTCATTTTTTTTCTTTGATGAAAGAAATGAATTACTGCTTCACTATTCCCCTAAGCATTAGAAATCGTGTTATCTCCTCACAGGCTCATTGTCCGTTTGTACCCCTGTGTAAGTTGGCCATTCAATCCCTCTGTCCATTCTATTAGGGACATTCTGTTCTCTGACATACAGAAACTACATCAACTTACTAATAGTACCATATCTTCTGCCACGTAAAGTTTTACATTTCTATGTGAATACATTCATCAATTTTCTTTTTCACATCTTGAGATCAGCAATAGCTTCTACATGAAAATCTTAATGATTTCCTATATATTGTTCAAGATTTTTTACATTTCAATCTTTATTTTTTTTTTATTTTATTTTAGAATATAGTAGGATGTGGTGCTAGTGCTGAGTGGTGGGACCTTTGAGAGCTGCCTAGCAGGGCTGGAAAGATGGTTCAGCAGTTAAGAGCACTTGCTGCTCTTACAGAGGACCGAGGTTTAGTTTCCAGCATTCACATGGCATCTCACAACCATCTATAACTAGATCCAGGGAATCCACCATCCTCTTCAGACAACCATGAGTACTAGGCATGTACATGATGCAGACATAACACTCACACACATAAAATATAATGAATTTAAAAGTGGGAGAAGTGACTAGGTTTGAGGGTTCTTCCTTCTTAGATGCATAATGTTGTCATCAAAGGAATGGGCTCACTGCCAAAAAGTGGATTTTTTATAAAACCAAGTTCCACCCTCTCTTGCTCTTCCTCACCTTTTCTCTGCCCCCTCACTAAAGGACAAAGCAGACAAAAAGGTCTCAATTTTTTAGCCTCCATAACTGTGAGCCAAATAAATTTATAGTATTTTAAAATTACCAAGTTTGTGGTTGTGGTGGTTTGAATGAGAATAGCCTCCATAGGATCATATATATGAATGCTTGGTCCTCAGTCAGAACTGTTTGGGAAGGATTAGGAGGTGTGGCCTTGTTGGAGGCATGTCACTAGGTGTGGGCTTTCAACAGGGAGGCCTGCCTGCTGTTGGGCTCCTTACCATGAAAGATGTGGACTCTAATCCTTTGCAATCATGACCCCAAATTAAATGATTTCTTTTTAAGTTGCTTTGGTCATGGCGTTTTGCCATAAAAATAGAAAAGAAACTAAGATAGTGGTATTCTACTATAGCAGCACAAAATGAATTAAGTCAGGACTCTATTTTTTTTTTCTTCCAAATGTAAAACCAGCTGTCTGTCCCAGCAACTTAGTGAATAATTCAACCCTTCCCTATTGACGTAAAGACTGTACAACGTATCAGATTTCAGAAGTGTATTATGTATGAATGTATGTGTAAACTTGTGTGGACAGATAAGCACATGTACGTGTTTGTGTGTATACACATACAGCTATTTCAGACCTGGTTTTCTCCCACTGCTTCCTCATTGGGTGGCAACAGTGCCAGGCCAACAGAAACCACTTACCTGTCCTTCCTCATCAAAAGCCATAACGACCACAGCAGCTCCAAACTTCTTAATCTTCCGAGCCTTCTCCAGGAAGTCCTCCTCCCCCTCCTTCAGACTGATGCTATTGACTATACACTTCCCTTGGCAGCACTTCAAGCCAGCTTCAATCACAGCAAAATTGGAAGAGTCGATGCACAGTGGCACCTGAGACAGAAGGACAGGAAGATCACAGGGCACAAGTCACCAGAAGTTCCCTCTGAATGGTTCCCAACAAACTCTATTGCTTCTTTAGGGAACAATAAATAAATCTAGGGTGTTAAAATAGGATTTTAAAACACTTATTTAAGCTTAAAGTTAAATATTTATAGTAAGATCAGCTCACAAGAGAATATGTACACGGGCCAAGATTTATAGCTCAAAGACAGAATCCAAGAGAGCAGTTCATGGGCTTAGGCCTAGTTTATATTTCCAAGCACTTAAACCCTAAGGCAAACACCTGCTTGACTATTCAAGCATTCTACCCAGACTCGATATTAAGGTTGAGAGTCTTGCTCTTTGGAAAGATCCCTCTGGCCAAGGTACTCAAATTAAATCTTCTCTTTATAAAAACAAATTCCTGAGCAGGAAAAAAAAATATTAGAAAGGAAAAACAGATCTAGTCCCCAATCCCCCCAAAAACAGTAATTGCTAATAATCAAAACAAACAACTAAAATGAACATATGAGAGACCATGGACTAATCCAGCCTCTGCTCCAAGAAAGGTGAAAGGATGATTCACTGCCACAAAGAAATAAATATGGCAGGACAGCTGACTTAGTACTATTATTTAGGGCAGTCAGTTAGTAACTGACTCCCTCCCTCGAAGGCGAACAGGTCCTTGGCTTCACCATTACCAAGATAAATGTTTAAACAAGTAAAGACGAAAGTACAGGAAAGGCTAGAACACAGAACAACAAAAAGAACAAGGAGTCTAGGGGTGGGTCTGTCTCAGCAACAGAGAACCTGACATGTGTGAGGCCCTGGTTTTGCTTCCCAATACCATAAACACACACAGAAAAAAGTTATCGTTTTAAAGGGTGATATGGGGGCGGGGGGCAGGGAGGTCTAGGAAAGTAGCACTGCTGGTAGAGTACTTGCAGAGGTCCTCAGTTCACAAACTGTTGACAGAAGCCTAATCCTAGCACTTGGAAGATAGAGGCAGGAGAATTAAAAGGTTCAAGGCTATCCTCAACTACACAGTGATTTTCAGGCCAGCACAGGATGTAAGACACCATTTAAACACAGGACTCTTCCAATTTTGCTTTCCTTAGCACACTAGTAATAAAGTGTTTACCCCAAAAAAGGGTCAAATGCAAATGGCAGGTAAGTACCAGGCCAGTGTCTGAAAGAGCTCATACTTTGGTGTTCCAACTCTGCTGGTGAAAACGTACTAATCATACTTTGGGTCTTTAAAGTCAGGGTCTTTGGGGTCTCACTATGTAGCCCAGGCTGGTCTCCAACTGCGATCTTCCTGCCTTTGCCTCCTGAGTGCTGCTTAGTGCATATTTTTATATTCTATCCTAATGACTTAAATTTGGTCTCCAGTAAATTTTTGTTTGTTTTTGTTCATTTTTGTTTTTGTTTTTCCAGACAAGGTTTCTCTGTTACTGTCCTGGAACTCACTTTGTAGACCTGGCTGGCCTCAAACTCACAGAAATCAGCCTATCTCTGCCTCCTGAGTGCTGGGATTAAAGGCGTGTGCCACCACACCCGATGTCCAGTGAATTTAATAGATTAAAACCAGGGAAGAAAGGTCATTTGTTGCAAGTCAGAGCACTGAGTAACAAGTTCTCTGCAGCGCATAAGATCCTTCAGTTAACAAGAGACTCTCACCATCACAATTGAAGTATTGAGCACAGCGGGTCTGATCACCTCACCTTAGAGATGAGGAAGGGTGTGCTTGGCTCTAAGGAGACCCAGACTTCTTCCCCACAGCTCTGATTCAGACTGACTCTGAACAGACCAGAGCTGCTCTGAACCTAACGATCTTAAAAGGTTTACTCCCAGAAAACTGGAAGGGCTTTTAGTAATGGAAGATGGGTAAATACAATTTAATGCTTACTACAGGCTTCTGGTTAAGTTCTTACTAAAGCCTAATTTAAAAAAAAAAGACAGTTCAACCTAAAGATATGCAACTCTGGGAACAGTTTCTTTAAAATAAAAAACCCTTAAAAGTCCTTCCCGGCATGGTGATAAACACCAGTGTGGATGCAGCCGGAATTCAAGGTCAACCTTGGCTACATAGACAAAGGGAAAAAAGGTTTAGCTTAAACCCTCTAAAACATTCTAAAAGACTGATACAAAAGCCTTTCACCTTTCTGTAACATTTAGTTTTTACAGCAGAGTCAGAGAAAGGCAAATCTTTGTGAGTTCTAGGTCAGCCAGGACTACAAAGACCCTGTCTCAAAAACAAACAAGCAAATGTTTCTATTATTATTTTTAAATGTGTCTATATCTGTGTCTGTCTGGGGGTCTGTATACCCAAATGCAGGTGCCTGTGGAGGCCAGAGGAGCTGGATCTCCCTGAAGCTGGTGTTAATAGGCAATTGTGAGCTGCCAGAAGTAAGTATAGGAAACTGAACCCAGGTCCTCCACAGGGGCGGTACGTGCTTTAATTACTGAGGCAGCTCTGCAACCCCTAACATTACCTTTGAAAGAACAAGTATAAACACCGACAGAACACCCTGATTTAACCCTGTGAGATGTCACCGTCTTCATCTGCTAGGCCCAACAAGGCCTCTTCCAACAGTAAGGAAGCCCTCACTGAGCTCCATTTCCCATGGGAGGAATAGAATCAGTGTGGAAGCAACAGCTAAGCGCATCCCTCTGAGATACAACAGTCAACTCTCACACTCCAGACAAGAGACAAAACTCAGTTCTCTTGAAGCCTACTTCTCCAAGACACCTCGTCAACAGCCGAGCCCAATCACTCTAAAATCTGCTCTAGGTGGAACAGACTGCTTAATAAGAAAGCTCAGAATCAGAAACAATGGTACTTTCAATGTAGGAAGAGAAGCAGTTCCTGAGCGGACAGATAGACAAGGCTAAATAAATAAATGAATGACAGCAAGCGGGTAAACCTCCTTGATGAGTATAAACCTTGTACAACCTTGGCGATGTCAGGTTCAGAGGCGATAAAATTGCAAAATCTGGTCATTGCACTGGGACCATCCAGCATGCCATCGTCCATGTTGATATCTAGCACCTGAGCACCCATTTCCACCTGTACTTTGGCAATGCTCAGGGCTTCCTAGAGGAGGAATGGGAGAAGTATGGTTAGGAGACGATGACTAAGAAGAGTAATTTTCCCACCCTCAGAGGCCCTTTGTTACTGAAATAGACATGTTGGCTCCCTGACTCTAGGCCTGTCCCCTACTCCCCAATGCTCACCCTAGACTACTAACCCTTTCACACATCACCTCACTGCTTAGAGTCCACCAAAGCAGCTTCCTACCATGAAGGATCTAAACTCTTGAGCCTCTAAGGCAACGACACCTTCTCACCCAAATGCCTTTCTTGGTTGGCCCTCACTGGACACTTTACCCAGACAAGTATCACCTCTGTTCCACACATCACATAACATCATTGCTAGCAACATAATCACCTTTCCTTCCAGACTGGTTCAAACCGAGCTCAAGTCTGCTCTTTCAAGAAAGATCTTTAGAGCAACCATCCAAACTCATTTAATCCTTCAATGTTTACCCACATAGGTAAAGATTTATTTTTATTTTGCATATAAATGTGTGTCTGTTTGAGTATATGCCATGTGCACAAAGGTGCCCACAGAAGCCAGTAGGTGTAAGATTCCCCTGGAACAGGAGTACAGGGGGAAGTGAAGTGCCTTATGTGGGTGCTGGGAACCAAATGGGCAGTCCTCTGCAAAAGCATAATATACTCTTGGCTGCTGAGCCATCTCTCCAGGCCCTCAATGACATTTTCTAACAAACATAACACAGACACTTGTTGGAGTCTTCATTATAGTTTTGTAGCCCAATAAATGAGCAAAGGGAAAATCAGTAATAGATGCTGCTGCTAGCCTGATTTTTCTTTGCCCCTAACCACCCCCCAACACACACACACACACACACACACACACACACACACACACACACACACACACACACACACACACACACACACACACCCCACAGAAGGAATTTGTCATTCACTGTGATAAACAGGAAGAAGCCATTGGACATATGCCAGAGAACAAATCTACACAGAGAAAGAGGTTAACAAGGATAACTAAGAGCTCTACCACTGAACTACACTCCCAGCCCAAAGGATCACAAAAAGTACAAATTAAAAATGGCTTTCAGGCTGGGCATTCTAGCACTGGGGAGGCAGAGGTAGGTCTCTTGAGTTTGAGACCAGCCAGGGATACACAGTAAGACCCTGTCTAAAAACAGGATTTCAGCTGCTTAGGTGCTTAGGCTGCAGCTTAGTGGCAGTGCTTACTTAGTACACTCAAGGCCCTAGGTTCAAGAGTGAGTGTGTATGTGTGTGTGTGTGTGTGTGTGTGTGTGTGTGTGTGTGTGTGTGTGTGTAACAGGGCAGGGAGGCAGAGCTGGGACTGCAGCTCAGTGGCTATAGCACTTGCTTAGCAAGCATGAGATACTGGGTTCTGCCCCCAGCACAGGGGAGAAGGGGGTGGTTTTTAGTATCAGGGATGATTTCAATAGTATTAGGAATAAAAAAGGTACATCACAACCCCTGTCCTTGAAGGGCTTATATCTCGTTGGAGGCACACAATTCTGTCACATTGAAAAACAACACAAACAAGTATTGATAACCAGTGTGGAGATCAAATACCAAGATTATCTAAAACAGATATGAAAGCTAACCAACTTTAACAAAGGTGGTGTGTCCTGAGAGGAAAAGTCTTCATCCCACCAATGGAGGAACAGACTGGAGGAAGCAGAGGAGACAGGTTATCAACAGAGGTTTCAAAGACCTGGGAAATACAGATGCCATTATCTGACCTATTTCATCAGTCACAGAACAAGTGCTTGAAGGTAGACTGCTCCCAAACTAGCTCAGGGTCATGGCATCATTCCTTTAAGAGAAAGACATCAGACCTAACATTGCTCTATCAGTGCTCTCCCCTTCAAAGCACAGGGCCTTGAAGATCACTGAAGTCAGGGAAATGTAGAGTCTATGAAGGACTCATCCACCCAGTCTGTGCCCCAAGCCCCACTTCAACTGCATCTCCCTACAGGTCCCGCTAGGCAAGGACCACAGGCAGTTGAGTACATGGGCTTCAAGACTTTCTTTATCAACTCTATGTAACGATAGACTGATAATTTTAACACCCCCCCCCCCCCAACTCTCCATTACCACATCTGTGGATGGTGGAAACAAGCAGTTTGACTTCATGGGATTGTGCAAGTTCAGCACAGTGGCCAGGCACATAAGAAAACCTTAACAGTCTGTCTATCTGTGTACTTCCTCCTAAAGTATCTCTGCCCTCACTAACCAGGCCATCAATCTCAAAGCTGAAATGGGTATCCAGAGAATAAGCAGAGGAATCAAAATAAAATGAGCTCCTCTGCCAACTGACAAACACCGTCTGACTATTAAGGGTCACAAGGACTTCAGAAGGCACAAGCAAGAGCCAAGGCATGAGGGCAGAGCAACCCTCCAGAATGCTCAGGGGGCAAATCAAGATGGTAAGGCTCCAAGCAAAGGTGGAGACAAAAGATGACGGCCTCAAGAAGCTGAACTGTATCCTACTCACAAAAACGTCCAGATCTGGAAGACAAGCAAGATGGAAGTACATGGCAGGAATAACAGCAACAAGATGAAAAAGAGCAGCAGGCAAAAAACACCTGCACTAGGAAAGACATCAGGGGATGCCAGGAAACAGTGGTTAGCAATTCCAAAAAGGATGATAAACAAATGGGTCGGTGCTACATGGCTAAAAACTAAATCTAAGCTGGGCATAGTGGCCCTTTAATCCCAACGCTTGGGAGGCAGAGGCAGGCTGATCACTGTGAGTTCAAGGCTAGCCTAGTCTACATAGTGAGTTCCAGAGCAGCCAGAACTACATAGTAAGACCCTGTCTTGAGGGGTAGGGCACCTAAATCTATAGGCTAGAAAGATGGTCCAAAGGGTAAGGGCACTTAATGCACAGCCATGAGGACCTGAGTCCTGATCTCAGCACACATCTAATAGGCCAGGCTTCCCACAGAATCCCTCAAACTCTAACTCTAAGGGATTTAATGTCCTTTCTAGACTCCCATGCACACACACATGTGCATAAACTCACAATACACACATAAATAAAATAAGTATATTTAAAAAAAAACACTTAAATCTATTCAGATCCTGAAATTAAAAAACCATCATAAAAACTCAAAGGACGACAAGATGGCTCATGTGGTAAAGGTGCTTGATACCAAACCTGACAACTTGAATTTGATCCAAGAAATAAATGTAGAAGGAGAGAATCAACTCTTCCAAGTTGTCCTTTGACTCCACATTCACAAAGTGGCTTGCACATGAATGTTCAGGTATGCACACATATACATACAGAAGCACACACACATGCACACACAAAGACAGACAAAATAATTTTTAAAAACATATTTTTTTTAAGACTGGCTCTCATTATGTAGACCATGCCAGCCTGAGCTCATAGAAATCTGCCAGCCTCTGCCTCCCGAGTGCTGGAATTAAAGACATGTAGTACAACTATGCCCCAGTTTAAAAAAGAAACCCCCCCCCCGCCCCCGACAGAGCTTCTCTGTGTAGCCCCAGCTACCCTGGAACTCGCTTTGTAAACAAGGCTGGACTCCAACTCATAGGGATACAACTGCCTCTGCCTCTCTAGTGCTAGGATTAAAGGTATATACCACCACCACCAGGATAAAAAAGAAAGAATTTAAGTCACAGGAAAAACAAAACCCAAAACCTCAAACCATCTTCTTCCATTTTTATTTCATATTTGTAGAAAAGAAAAATCTATCCAGATGTTTAGGCATGCTCTGTGTGGATTAAATTAGACTCATCTATAGTATTACACAGCTTAAAAATGCAGACTTCTCAAGGCAAGGGCCTTTCATTTTGTGCTGACCTACAGGATCAAGAATACCTTCCTCAGCAAGCATCTGATGTGGTCAGATGAATAAGAATTCTCTTTCGGAGCGGCAGAGATGACTAAGTAATTAAAAATACTTGTTGCCAGGCGGTGGTCATGACTTTAATCCCAACACTTGGGAGGCAGAGGCAGGTGGATGTATGTGAGTTCAAGGCCAGCCTAGTCTAAAGAGCAAGTTCCAGAACAGCCAGGGCTACACAGAGAAACCCTGTCTTGAAAATAAGTAAGTAAATACTTGTTGCTCTTGTAGAAGACCCAGGTTCAGTTCCCAGAACCCACAAGGAATTTCACAACCATCTGTAACTCCATCTCCTAGGGATCCAATGCCCTCTTCTGGTCTCTGTGGGCACCAGGCACATACATGGCACACACACATTCATGTAAGCAAAATGTTCATATACATACTACATAGTTTAAAACAATGGGATTGGTTTCTGAGAGGCCAAAATGGAGAGTATTCCCAAATATCCAAACTTACGGAACAATGAATGACTAGAAGCTGGATCCCTCCCAGTCATCTCACCCCACACCCCAAATGTAATGCTTTCTGACCAGTAACAGCAACATCAAGTCTTCAAGGCCTCAATGTCCAGCTGTCCCATCCACTGCCAGCTGCCATCAGCACCCTCGCATACTTCCTAGCAGCTCTGCAATAGCACCAGCCAGAACAAACACACGTTCCTGACATGCAGCCTACCCAGAGGCATGGCAATGCCCCAGGGGGTCTCATGAGGATGCTCACGTCATAGTTTCCTGCCATGATGAGTTTAGCAAACTTCTTAGATCCTGCCACATTACAGCGCTCTCCAATGTTAACAAAGTTGGTGTATGGTCCAATCCTGAAGGGCTCTAGACCTTAAAAGGAGAAGCATTTTGAGAAAGTCTTAAAAATGCACATGGATGACATAAAACAAAGTATTTTCAGCAAGAATGTCAAAGCCCATCTGAGCAGATGGGATAAGAGATCTGAAGGGAAACAGGATCACAATCTTTTCTGAACACTGAAAGGCTACTTGCTGCAACTGTGCTTACAATCAGATCTCCCGAGAGAAGATCAGAGCTCTCTGCTGCAAATACCCATAGTGCACTGGCCCACACAGCCTCTGAAAAGGAAAAGTCACCATCATTCTTATTTAACTACCACTCTGGGGCAAAAGCCGTGATAAGGCTTCAAATCAAAAGGGGACTAAGCTTAAGTCGGTCTTGTGCATGCTGCTCTGTTTGCTTTGAGTTCATACACGCAACGACTCTGCTGTGTCTGGAAAATCCTGCTTGGTGATGCTACCCACAACTTCTGACAGCTATATCCTTCTGCCCCACTTTCCCCTGAAATCCCTAAGCCTTGGGAGAGGAGCCTGTTATGTCTCATTCAGGGCTATATGAGGGGAAATGGGCACAAAATCTCACCATGAGCGGAGAAGCTACTGGCATCTGATAGCTGCTAGGAAATAGTGAAACAAGGAGGTAGGGAAAGGGAGGTAAATGGAGTGTGTGTCACTTTTCTTTTCAAAACCCATGTGCAGCCAGGCAATGGTGGCACACACCTTTAATCCCAGCACTTGAGAGGAAGAAGAGGGCAGATCTCTGTGAGTTCTAGGCCAACCTGGTCTACAGAGTGAGTTCCAGGACAGTCAGGGCTGCACAGAGAAACCCTGTCTAGGAAAAAAAAAAAAGAGTCAAACTAGTTAGGCCACACCAACTGGAAGGTTGAGGAGTGTGGTGGTTTGAATGTAACTGGCCCCCATAAGCTCACTGGGAGTGGTACTGTTAGATATGGCTTTGTTGGAGTAGGTGTGGCCTTGTTGGAGGAAATGTGTCACTGTGGAGTCAGGCTTTGTGGTTTCCTATGCTCAAGATATGGCCAGTGTCTCAGTTCACTTCCTGTTGCCTGCAGATCAAGATGTAGAATTCTCAGCTCCTTCTCCAGCACCATGTTGCCTATATGCTGCCATGCCCCACCATGATGACAATGGACTGAACCTCTGAACTGTAAGCTACCTAATTAAGTGTTTTCCTTTGTAAGAGTTGCCGTGGTCATAGTGTCTCTTCACAGCAATGGAAACCCTAACTAAGACAGAGAGAAAACTAAAGATTGGGTAGGGAGGGATGGCAGAGTAGAAAGGGTAGTTGTTAGAAAAGTTAGGATTTATGTAAATATGTTAAAAATACATTATATGAAATTCTCAAAGAATAAAAAGTACTGTAAAAACAAAACACACATCTTTAGTCCCAGCACTCAGGAGGCAGAGGCAGGCGGAGCTCTGTGAGTTCAAAGCCAGCCTGGTCTACAAAGCAATTTACAGGACACAGAGAAACCCTGTCTTGAAAAAACAAACAAACAAACAAAAAGGATTATTGAATCAGACATGGCGATTCATGACTGTAATCCCAGAACTCTGCAGCATGTAGGACTTTATATGCTATGATGCAAAATTCTATCTCAAAGGAAAAAAAAACTGCTTTCTATCAGAAATCAGCTTGCAGCTGCACGGAGCAAATCTCTTCACCCCATCAACAGCATATGTGGAAGGTCCCATCAACAGTGTATGTGGAAGGTCCCATCAACAGTGACTATGGGAGGTCACCCCATCTCTTTAATTGAGAGACCTTGAACCTGAAACTAGCACCGCCAAATTGGATGGTGAGGGAGGACCCAGATGGAGATGCAGGAGTCACTGTGGCAGGTCTTCCAACATGAGGCACCCAAAGCAGGCCATTGGGCTTCTGGCGTATTATTGCTTTATTTACTAAGGAGTAACAGCTTCTTCCCTGGCACAGGCTAATAATTCAGAGGCAAGTATCAGATAATACATGTAGATGCATTATACTCAGATAAAAAGGTTCTCAAACTGCTTTGTTTTTAAAGTATTTTAAGAAGCAGTCTCCCTGAATTGCCAGAGGCAGGTTCTGGAGACATATGGCCTTGGGTTCATCACTTATATGATCACACAATCTGAGACAATTGCCCACACAACCTTTCGGCTTACAAATCAGGTATGATCTCTGCCTTAATTAGCATAAAAATGAAGCACAAAATTAGCATCAGCTATCAGAGCTGTCATTAAAAAAGAAAATGGCCTTTGAGTCCTTTGCCAAAGCATTATATGAAAAAGCTAATATGAGCAAGAATAAGATTATGAATGGGCTGGGTAATTATGCAGATATTCCAGGCCATTTGTTCACGGACTCAGGAAGCAATCACTTTCTACAGTTCCAGCTTCTGACTTTTCTCATTGCTAATGAGTCTTATGCCCCTGACCTTTCACATAATCTGGAGGATTGTGTACCAGGCAAATAGGGATGACAACCACTAACACTGAGAGTGCTCGTGTGACCTAATGGCATTTGACAAGTGCTTCTGATCTAGCAGGAATGACGAATCAGATACAGAAGCAGTGCTTCTCTTGTTCACCGTTTATACACAGGTTAACAAAGTGTTTTTCAGATTGGACATGGTGGCACATACTTGTAACCCTAGCATTCAGAAAGAGGAGACAGGAGGATTGTTAGTTTGAGGTGGCCCTTGGCTATACAATGAGACCTGTCTTAATTTAATTTTATTTCAGGAAAATAAAGTAAAAAGCCAGGCATGGTGATGCATGCCTTTAATCCCAACACTCAGGAGGCAGATGTAGGTGGATCTCTGTGAGCTTGAGTTTGAGGCCAGCCTGGTCTACACAAATGAGTTCCAGGATTGCCAGGGCTAAAGAGACCTTGTCTCAAAAAAAAAAAAAAAAAAAAAAAAAAAAAGGAAAAGAAGAAGAAAAAAGAAACACACAGAAAATAAATATACAAATAATTATAAAGACCAAAACAATAAAGATTCTAACAATATCTGGAAGCAAATGAAATTTTCCAGGAAGACACTGTTGCCATTACAAAGCACTAGGCCTTAGCCATTTAGAATTTTCAATAATTCCTATCAACTGACCATTAAAATTGTTAGGCATGGGACAAGGGTATGCTATCACTGTGCAGCAAAGACAAACCCACAGATTCTCATTGAAACAAGGGAAGTACATGAGCAAACCACCCAGCCTTCATTCATTTTTACCCTGAAATCAATCTTTCTACCCCATCCTTAAAAAAAAAAAAAAACAGAATTCTTTAGTAAAACTTACCTAAGTGCCAAGAAAAATAAGCACTCTTCTTTGATCTAATAAGCTTCCTGGTATAAATATTACTACCACTTAGACACAAGCACATTAAACACATCCTACAGATGGCTTTTAAATCAAAACCACAACCTCAGACTTACCAGATAGTAACATATGTCCTTCAAAAACACTAGCAGGTGGAACTCTAGGCTTACACTTCTTCACAGCTTCAGCAATTTCCCTAAGTTAAAAGAGAAAACACTATATTCATTAATTCAGAGCAACATAAATTTAATTAAGCTAATTTCCAGCTATGAAATAAGTCTGCATCAATATACCCATGCACATAATGATATGCCTACTTAAATGTACAGCAGCAGTTACATCCTTCAGTTTCCTCAGCAACAGAAAGCTCATCAGTGCTGCCTGTACTGCTTCCACCATCCCAGACACAAGCTTGGAGCTGCTACATGAGGTCTGCACAAAGACACACTGCAAACCCTTCCCTTCCCCAGCCCACAGATAGCCTTTACAAATCTACACATAAACATGCCCTTGCTACCTAATCAACTGCTTAACAACTTCAAAAAGAAGTCTGTAGCTCCGAGAAATAACAGTAAACTGGGGACTGGGCGTGTTTGCTGGCAGTGGGAGAGGACAGTCCTGTGCATACAACAGGGGATGGACAGAGAAATAGAGCTTGAACACTTCAAAACAATTGTTCCTCCAAACGGGTTTCAGGTATCCAGTCTCTTCAACATTGTCAACTTCAATGAATCATGTGTTTGATAAACCACAAAATCTAGCTTTCTCTATTTATTTATCAGGTCCTGTAGGCACTGCTCACTCTATTGTCTCCAAATTAGTATGTGGGTGACTAAGTAAAAGCAGATTTTATAAATAAGTACATCAACCTACAAATACACAAGTTAAAAACAACTCTGTTAAAGAGGAAGTGAACTAAAAAATGAAGAGTCAGTCTGTGATCCAAAGATATGATACTTCAACTACTGATGAAGATATAACATAAAAGATGTATAAAAAATAGGGATATAAGTATAGTGTGCTAGAGTAGATGATGAGTATATACAAAGCCCTGGTTTCAATTAACAGCACCAAAAAGGCAAATACATAGTAACTTTATAGTTATTAAGAGTCTATCATAGGGGCTGGAGAGATGGCTCAATGGTTAAGAGCACTGACTGCTCTTCCAAAAGACCTGGGTTCAATTCCCAGCACCCACATGGCAGCTCACAACTGTCTGTAATTCCTTCCAGTTCCAAGGGACCTGACACCCATGGCAAAACACCAATGCACATAAAATAAAAGTAAATAAATTAAAAAAAAGTCGCCAGGCAGTAGTGGTGCATGCCTTTAATCCCAGCACTCCAGAGGCAGAGGTAGGTGGATCTCTGTGAGTTTGAGGCCAGCCTGGTCTATAAAGCGAGTTCCAGGACAGGCTCCAAAGCTACACAAAGAAACCCTGTCTCCAAAAAAAAAAAAGTCTATCATAGAGGCCAGATGTGTAGGTACACATCTTTAAGCCCAGCACTCAGAAGGCAAAGACAGGTAGGCAGACCTCTGTGAGTTCCAGGCCAGCCTGGTCTACACAGGAAGTTCCAGCCAAAAATTCTATCAGAGAAGTCAAGAAAAGCAGTTAAAAAAAAAAAAAAAGTATTGGGTAACTTAGCTAAAGAAATATATTATGTGCACATACACGGAACAGTAAGGGCTGGCTGAAAACACAATCACTGTTCACTCTGGGAAAGACGGCAGAGTCCTAAACAACATCCTCTGAATTCCAATCTTTCTGAGAACCACAAATGATAAGGATAAACGTGTCTATAACCAGCACTGCCATTTTTCACTCCTTCCTTCATGCTGGCCCTGGAAAGCATGAGTAAGTAATGACTACACAGCACCAAGGAGGATATTCCTCTAGACCTCAAAATGCTCGTCACCTGACTGCTTTTTCTCTGGAGGAGAGAATCTAACGGAGCTATGTGCTTCACCAAAGAACACTTAGCTGTCCTTCTAAAGCAAGAAAAAAGAGGTAACCATTACCTGATATGATCGGGTGTCGAACCACAGCAGCCACCAACTATATTCACCAAGCCATCCATGGCAAAGTCCTGTACTTAGAGAAAGTGAATTCATCTGAATTCTAAATTTACCAAAACAAACTCAGCAAAAGAGCATTTACATTCTGTATTTCCTGAATAACTAAGATTATAATAAAGAAAGATAAACATATTTACTTTAGATTAAAAAATGTCACAAGCCCTAGGTAAAAGATACACATGGGACATAGTTTAGATACTATGAAAACTTATGCTGTCTGAAACACAGTAGACATTTTATTTGCCTATTTAATTAAATGAAACAGTTTTTTACCCATATGACAAGAATGAATGAAATGGACAATACATTTTCAAATAACATATGAGTATCAGTTTTTCAATTTAATTTAAAAATTTTTTAAATAAAAAATGAAGGTCCTTTGTCACATAGCCATGTTTCAAGTGTTCCATCAAACACATGGGTAAGACGCCACGATGATCAGCAGGGTCTGGAACAAGCCATGGCTAGTTAGTGAAAAAGTGAGATGAAATAAGGGGGCTGAGAAAGCACAGCACCAAGACTATCTACTTAAGATAATTGAAATTATAATCTCGGTACTCAGGAGACCGAGGCAGGAGAATCACAAGCTCAAAAACAGGGACTATCTCAATGGAAACAAAGAATGGATACTGGAATCTAAGAAATGACTCAGAAACAGTCTAGGAGAAAGCATCAGTGAGCCAGGAGCTGAACATTCAAAAACTGAAGGGAAACAGGCATCATTAGAGGAGTGCACTGAGCAACAGCAGTGGTATTTCAGCCTCGTGATTCAAAGATGGCACGTACATTCCAGAAAGGGAGGATTTGCAGATAGCAGCATGGAGCCAAGTGAACATCTAGTCCACCCACCCAGCATTTTGAAGCGAATGAGAGGGGAAGTCATTATTTGATAGTTTTGCAGAAGGGACATTGCTGTGGGATGTTCTGTATGGCAAATGTGTTGCTCTGATTGGTCAATAAATAAAACACTGATTGGTCAGTGGCTAGGCAGGAAGTATAGGCAGGACAAGGAGGAGAATAAAGCTGGGAAGTGGAAGGCTGAGTCAGAGAGACACTGCCAGCCGCCACGATGACAAACAGCATGTGAAGATGCCGGTAAGTCAAGTCACGAGCCACGTGGCAAGGTATAGATTTATAGAAATGGATTAATTTAAGCTGTAAGAACAGTTAGCAAGAAGCCTGCCACGGCCATACAGTTTGTAACCAATATAAGTCTCTCTGTTTACTTGGTTGGGTCTGAGCGGCTGTGGGACTGGCAGGTGAGAGAGATTTATCCTGACTGTGGGCCAGGCAAGAAAACTCTAGCTACAGGACATTATAGAGAGCCAGGACTCATTTACTTTGGAGAGTACCTCACTGGGAATTTTCCAACAGATACCACTGCCAATCAATAAGTAAGCAGACAGCTAAGCTCTGCTTTATGCTTCCACTACTTTAACTCAGAGTACCTAAACTTCATTTTCTTACTTACATACTAGATTTTGAGGGAAAATTACGTTAAATCTAAATACCACCTTCCATCATGCATGGTGGCACATGCCTCTCTAAACACAACTATTCAGGAGGCTGAGGCAGAAGGATAGCAAGTTTAAGAGCAGCTTAGGCAAGGCAGACTGGATCTCCAAGTTAATTAAGTAATTAAAAGAACATTGTATCTGTCTCTTCAGAACTGAAATGAATGGATCCCTGACCTTTAGGTGATTGGCCATCATGGATGGTGTTTCATCATAGTCACCAAAAGTATTGGGAAGACCTGAGAAAGGACATTTCAATCATTATTCGAAAGTATCTAAACAAATACTTAAGTGCTTTAAAACTTACATAATTCTGTATTGACACTCAAATTTTAATTACTTACAAAGTGAATAATAATGCAGTACTGATATAACAGATAGAATCACAACAATAAAATCTGGAGAACATTCATTTTCTTTTACATATTAAACAGAGAGTTCACTCCCATTTGGAACAGAGTGCTCCAATCTCCACCTCCAAGTCCCTTACTATAAGATAAACTCATTCTTCTTCAAAACCGCTCGTGGGGAAGACACCCTGTACACACTCCCACAGCCTTCGAACTAATGAACATCTGATATGCAATGCAACAAAAAACAAGAAAAACCAGCCTTCTTTAAATTAAATACTTCTACTGCATTTCAGACGGCATAAAAGGTTTCATAGTATCTGAACTATTTCCCATGTGTATCTTTTACCTAGGGCTTGTGACATTTTTGTTTCTAAAGTAAATGTTTATCTCTCTTTTGTATAACCTTATTCTTTACCCTCTGATTATCTAGTTTCCTGTTGGATTCATGCCTTGCCCCTAATTACTAAAGAAAAATAAAATATATTATGCATTTTATAAGATTTACTTATGGGTATATGTGTTTTGCTCAAATTTATGCCTATGCACCACCTGAGTACCTGGAGCCCAGGGGGGTCACAAGAGGGTGTCACATCCCCTAGAACTGGAGTTATGGATGGTTGTGAGTCAACATGTGGATGTTGGGTATTAAATCCAGATCTTTGGCAAGAACAAGTGCTCTCAACCACTAAAGCATCTCTTCAGACCCTTTTTTATGCATTTTTAAATGTATATATTTGAGGCTGGTGAAATGCCTCAGCAAACAAAAGCATTTGCTGCACAAGGCTGACATCCTGAGTTCAAGTCTCAAAACCCACAGTGGAAGGAGAGAACCAATTCCCAAAAATTATCCTCTGACCTCCAGATGCAGGCCATGACACATGCAACTGCACCCACACATATAAATCATATGCATACATATTAACAAAATTATTTTAAATTTTTTAATGTATACATTCAGATAAAAAATATACAGAAAATGACTTTTAGCGCTACATAGCTGAATAGTACTCAAAACATCCCCTGGGAAATCTGGCCAGCCTAGACCAAATTATCAACATTTACTAGATAGTTAGAGATCTAAAAAAATATTTGAAAGTTTTATGTGCCATCAACTAGATCTTAGCTTTTAGAACATAACAACACCTACTACTATCAAAAATGTTGTTCTGGCCGGGCGGTGGTGGCGCACGCCTTTAATCCCAGCACTCGGGAGGCAGAGCCAGGCGGATCTCTGTGAGTTCGAGGCCAGCCTGGGCTACCAAGTGAGTTCCAGGAAAAGGCGCAAAGCTACACAGAGAAACCCTGTCTCGAAAAACCAAAAAAAAAAAAAAAAAAAAAAAAAAAAAATGTTGTTCTGCTAATAAATGAACTGGGGAGGGGATCCCTCTTATTTTGGCATCTCTCTGGCTATATTCACATGGCAAAACTCTGGTTAGTGACATAACTAGACCAATTCCCCGAAGTTATGCCCTAATTATGTTGAATCTCAAACAAATACACACACTTGAGCCTCCCTCCTTACCCCCTTCTATATGTACACACCACACACACACACACACACACACACACACACACACACACACACACACACACACACATTACAACACCAATTCTCCAAATTAAGACATTACCCCATTTATCATGACTTAAATATATCCCATTCTTCATGTGCAACTCCCCCCCAAACATACCTGCATTTGGGTAACAGAGGACATAGGCTGTTGTACACTTCCCAATTGTTTCAATGAAAGGCCTCATTTCAGCGGCACCCAGAGCACAATTTAATCCAATGCTGGAAAAACAGTAAGCAGGTATCAGAAACATCATCTTTCATTCAAAACATTTATGCATACAAGTTATAATAGATAAATATGGCAGATACATGTCACTGCATATTTGGGAAGATCCATAGAATGTACAAAAGTGAGCTCTAATGTACACTAATATTCGGTTAATAATTCGGTTATTAATACCATACCACACCAAGGCAAGTTGTTAACAGGGAAAACTGGGGCAAGTGTGGGCAGGGAGCGACTATAGAAAACTCTGCTTTCCATGTTTTTGTTGTTGTTTAAATAAGCTTGTACCTGATCTAAAGCAAGTATGATTCTCTGATCACTGATTTTCAACCGATCCTCACATCTCCCTTAAGACTGCTAAGTCCAAGTTCATGCACGATGGCAGATGTCTGTAATCCCAGCACTCAGGAGGCAGGGGCATGAGGCCTCCTCGGTGCCACAGCAAGTCTGAGCCCAGTCAGAGCTTCAGGAGATGCTGACTCAAAAACAAACACATAAAAAGGGGACTGCAAGGTAAAATGCACAGTTAACTTCCACCTGAACAGACCTTTTCAGTTTAGCCATTTTACTAGTACATTCAGTGACTTTCATGGTAAGCCACTGTGGTGTTATAATGAGAATGGCCCCCAGAGGCTCACATGATTCAGTTGGTGAAACTGGGAACGTATAGGAGGTCTGGCCTTGTTGGAAGAAGAGTGCCACTGTGGGCAGTCTTCAAGGTTTCTTAAGACTTTCATCATTCCCTGCCTAGTGTCTCAAGATGGGAACTCTCAGCTACTGCTCCAGGACCATGCCTGCCTGCTGCCATTCTCCCTACCGTGATGGTCATGAACTCTAACCCTCTGAAACTGTAAGCCCTAAATTAAATGCTTTCTTTTATAAGTTGTCTTGGTTGTAGTGTTTTATCATAGCAACAAAAAAGTAATCAAGTAATCAAGACTACTGTCACCTGGATTCAACATATAAAAATGAATGCTGTAAATCATTGTGCTATCTCTAGTAAGGATGTTTGAATGTTTTCCAAACTTAGTTCCAATGCTAATTTGTCTTTTCCACTGTTGACATTACCCAGCCAAGCAGTCTTCAACCACAAGTACCTAGATAACAGCAAGTAATGCCCACTCAGTTCTTGGGGTTCTAGTAAAGCTCAAATGAAACATCACATATGGATATTTCTTATCAACTATTCAGTTCTCAGGCTGACATTAAGTCACTCTGGCACACCCATGTATCCTGTCTCTCTGCTTAGCAAACTCTGGCTCAAGTCTTCCAACACAGTTCAGATGTTACCATGTCTAAAGAGCCATCTCTGAATCTTACAAGGACTCACCACTACACACAGTCATTTCCTTCATTGTTTCTATACAGCACCATCTGTCTTACCATTTGTATTTGGGGAGAGGGAATACAAGGGAGGAATGCACATCTGGAAGTCAGAGGACAACTTGCACAAGTGGATTTTCTCCTACCATGTGGGTCCTGGTGATCAAATCAGGTCACCAAGCTTAGCAGCAAGCACCTTTACCTGGTGACCCATGGTTTACATTCTTTTTTTTTTTTTTTTTTTTTTTTTTTTTTGGTTTTTCGAGACAGGGTTTCTCTGTGTAGCTTTGCGCCTTTCCTGGGACTCACTTGGTAGCCCAGGCTGGCCTTGAACTCACAGAGATCCGCCTGGCTCTGCCTCCCGAGTGCTGGGATTAAAGGCGTGCGCCACCACCGCCCGGCCTTACATTCTTATTTAGTGAAGGGCTTCTTCCTAATGTGGACTATTTCACTTGACCAGTATTCCAGAGCACATAGCCAGATTTCAATAAATGATGAATTAATAATAACACAGGACTCTACTGTTCTTTGTTAACAAAAGAGTCTGTGTTAACAGTCAATCATTAAACAATAGTTTCTCATATGTTAACTCTTTTCACATGATTGCTAACTTCTATATACCCTCCATTCTTAAGAGATAAAAACCTGACCTTTAACATTCCTACTTTATTTTACGCTGGAATGCCTCTGCTTGTCCCACAAATAGGGAGGGACATTGCCTTAACACTTGCAATCTTAAAGCATAAGCAGACTCAGAGGCAAACACTTGACTGCCCAGAAGGTATGAGAACTCTCCTGATATCAACGTGGCCCATTTACTACAGTGGCCTTGAAGCCCTTAGAGTAAAGTCTGAAAGACTAGAGGAAATCTAGTGCATCACGGAAATGGCACAGTGGAAAACAGAAGCAAGGCCTCTCTGAGGCCACACTGTGCAGCCCCCAGTAAAAATGCCCCAAAAGAAAGAGTCACTCACCACAGTGGGTCTGAATGAGACACGCTGATGACAAATGCCTCTCCTGTCTGGCCAGAAAGAGTCCGTCCACTTTTATCAACAATGGTCCCAGAAATCTGAATAAACAATGTAACAGATCAACAATATAGAGTCTGGTAAAGAATACAGTCACAAAGACAGAAACAAACAAGTGAAAGTTTTTTAGTTCTTTCATGAGGGAGAGCACTGGCAGAATGGATACATGCCTAGTGACTGGGAAAGAATGACAGCCTTAGACGTCACACGCCCACATCCATCCCTCTGTGAGCTCTAAGGAAACCAAGTCTTTAAGCCTTTGGCTTCTTTTGAACAGCCTGTCTTCCATCAATCACTTCTAGGTTTGTTTTCCATATTTCTCCAGAGGTAAGAGACTATTGATGGGAGGAAGGTGAAGAGAGGGATAGTTTCTGAAAGACATTCTACCATTCCAGGGAGGGAGAAAACCTACAACAAAACCCTAATTGTAAAGGAATTTTCTTAGAGGGAGAGGAGTTCTCATGCACATATTTAAGAACTTACAAAGATAGGCCGGGGAGGAGCATAATTCTCTTCAAAGAGTTTCTGGAGTGCAAACAAGGCCGCCTGTCAAGAAAAAAAAAGAATAGCTTTATTTCTGAGAAAGGTCCAAGATCAATCTAACTGCCTGATCAGCACACCCCTTTCCTAAGACCTCTTCAGGTAGGATACACACAAAGCTGAGGAAAGGAAATCTTCCCTAAATTCATGACACCCTCTCAAGTGTAACACTGGACACACTAACCAATGCTAAGGTGAGGGATCTCAAGTTTAACTCTGTACACACTAACCAATGCGCAGGTGAGGGATCTCAAGTGTAACTCTGGACACACTAACCAATGCTCAGGAGAGGGATCTCAAGTGTAACTCTGGACACACTAACCAAGGCGCAGGTGAGGGATCTCAAGTGTAACACTGGACACACTAACCAATGCTCAGGTGAGGGATCTCAAGTGTAACACTGGACACACTAACCAATGCTCAGGTGAGGGATCTCAAGTGTAACTCTGGACACACTAACCAATGCTCAGGTGAGGGATCTCAAGTGTAACACTGGACACACTAACCTATGCTCAGGTGAGGGATCTCAAGTGTAACTCTGTACACACTAACCAATGCTCAGGTGAGGGATCTCAAGTGTAACACTGGACACACTAACCTATGCTCAGGTGAGGGATCTCAAGTGTAATACTGGACATACTAACCAATGCTCAGGTGAGGGATCTCAAGTGTAACACTGGACACACTAACCAATGCTCAGGGGAGGGATCTCAAGTGTAACTCTGTATACACTAACCAATGCTCAGGTGAGGGATCTCAAGTGTAACACTGGACACACTAACCTATGCTCAGGTGAGGGATCTCAAGTGTAATACTGGACACACTAACCAATGCTCAGGTGAGGGATCTCAAGTGTAACACTGGACACACTAACCAATGCTCAGGTAAGGGAACAGCTCAGTAGTAGAGCCCTGCCTAGCATGGTGCACAAGTCCTGGGTTCAACCCCAAAAACCATAAAAAATTAAAATAAAATAATCTGAATTCACCTAACAAGCTAATTATTTCCTCTGAAGAAGAGCTGAAGAGTTAACTTTTCTTTCTTTCCTCCCTCAATCAAAATAAAAGTAAATACAACAAAATGCCCTGCCCATTTGTCAACCTTTCACATACATCAAAGGTAGGTAAAAGAACCAAAGATGTGCATCCCTAGAAAAATCCTCAGGAGCTTGGGTTGTAAAACTCCTTCCCTCTGTTAACAGTCCACATTTAAGTCACAAGCAGTAATCTTCTACTTCTTCTTCCTTTTATCATTAGTCACTGATGTGAAGATGAACACCACTGAAATTGGAAGTAATTTGTCATTTAGATGAACTTTCCAGTTGTTTTGTTTTTCATGGAAAGTTCTTAAGTCAACAACATTGAATGCTGGTGTGGTCATGCACACCTGTAATGCAATACTTGAAAGGCTGAGGTAGAAGGATGTCAAGTTTGAGGCCAGCCTGTGAGACCAGTTCTAGGTCAGCCTGAGCTACATAGCAAGACTCTGCTACAAAAACAACAAACTGGAATTCCTATTTCAGAACTAAAAAAAAAAAAAATTGATCCTTAAAATTTTTTTTTTGTGGGTTTTTTTTTTTGTGGTTTTTTGGTTTGTTTTGTTGTTTTTCAAGACAATGTTTCGGTATGTAGCTCTGGCCTCCCTGAACCAGACTAGCCTGAATTCAGAGATCTGCCTGTCCCTGCCTCCTGAGTTCTGGGACTAAAGGTGTGCACCACCTCTGCCTGGCTGTGTAAAATTTTATACCCTTAAAATCTTACAGTTTTGGGGTTTTGTTGTTGTTGTTGTTGTTGTTATTGTTTGGTTTTTAGGAGTTTTTCTGTGTAACAGCCTTGGCTGTCCTGGAACTCTCTTTACAGACCAGGCTGGCCTCAAACTCACAGAGATCCACCTGCCTCTGCCTCCTTGATGCTGGGATTAAAGGAGTACACCACCACCGCCCAGCTATGAGCCACCACCCCCTGGCTATGTAAGATTTTTTACCCTTAAAATCTTATAGAAAACAAATACATCAGAATAGCCAAGAAAGTTCTAGGTAAAAGAACTGCCAGTCATTCAAACTATTCTAAAGGTGTAGCAAACAATATAGTAATGCCACATGAACAGACTTCTGGAAAGGACTACAGAATTTAGGGTGTCTTAGTCAGGTTTCCATTGCTGTGACAGAACACCATGATCAAAAGCAACTTAGGGAGGAAAGGGTTTATATCTGTCTTACGGGTTACAGTCCATCAAACGAGAAGCCAAGGCAGGAACTTGGGGACAGGAACTGAAGCAGAGACCATGGAGGAATACTGCTTACTGGTTTGCTCCCCATGCCTTACTCAGTCTCCTTATACAACCTAGGACCATCAGCCAAGGAGAGGCACCACCCACAGTGAGCTGGGCCCTCCCATATCAACCACAGACTTCCTTACAGGCCAATCTGATGGAAGCATTTTCTCAATTGAAGCTCCCTATTCCCAAATGACCCTGACTTGTTTCAATTTGACAAAAAACTAACGAGGACAGGTTGTCTTATGCATCGTTCATGTCACTAAGAAATAATAAAGTATGTAGGGATGGAGAAATGGCTCAGCAGTTAAGTACACAGGTTGCTCTTACAGAGGACCCAGGTTCAATGCCCAACACCCATGTGACAGTTCACAACCCTCTGTAACCCCAGTTCCAGGGAATCCCAAGCCCTCGCTTGCCTCTATGGGCATTAAGCATACACGTGATATATAAACATACATGCAAGCAAAAACACATCAACATATAAAATGAAAAAAATTAATGAAAAATAAAGTGTTTAACAGATGTTATTAGGAAAATGAAATAATCTTACACAAATGTTCTCCCTACTTCATACTTCAAAATAAGGAGTACACCACATTTAAATCCCAAATATATCATTGGAAAAAAATCTATTATAAAAAAGAATGTATGGAGCCTGCAAGATGATTCAGTGGGTAAAGGTGCCCACTGCCAAGCCTGATAGCCTAAGTTTGATCAAGGGACCACACGGTGGAAACAAAGAACTGACTCCCCAAGTGTCCACCGTCATAAACACTGATGCACTGTGGCACTCACATACCCACACACATACACACGTACAAAATAAAGTGTTAAAAATTTATACATATCCAAGATAATCGGTTGATGAAACACCTGCCTTACAAGCATGAGGACCTGAGTTCAATCCCTGTAACCCACTTTAAAAGCTGGTGAAACACACTTGTAATCCCAGTTCTGGGGAGGTAGAAACAGAAGGTCCCTGGGGCTTGCTGGTTAGCCAGTCTAATTGGAGAGATCCACAACAATGAGGAACCATCTTAATTGAAGTGGGTGGCATCCTTTAAATTTAAGGACTCCTGAGGATGACACCAAGCTTATCCTCCATCTTCCACATGCCCCCTTACACATGCATACGTATATACACATAAATGCATGTGTGCACATATATACTTCCACCATAAGCAATACAGGCCACATAGTTTAAAACTTAAAAATTCAGTGACTTTTTTTAAGCTTTTCCATCAAATAAAAAAAAATCTGGGTTGGGGATTTAGCTCAGTGGTAGAGTGCTTGCCCAGCAAGCACAAGGCCCTGGGTTCGGTCCTCAGCTCCAGAAAAAGAAAAAAAAAAAAAAAAATCTACCCTAGTGCTTTATGTTCTTGTTTACCTGCCCATGTTTCCAATAAAAACAATACTGTGATTCTTTTCAGTTGTGTATCCGCTAGTTCCATGGTTACGAACACATACTGTTCTTCCAGAGGACCCAAGTTTGATTCCCAGCAACTGTATCAGGCAGCTCAAAACCACTGGTAACTCTAGCTATAGGTGGAATTAGATGCTTCTAGACCCCGTGGGCATCTGTACTGATGTGCACATACCCCCACACACACACACACATACATGCATCATTTTTAAACATACAGTAGAAAAAAGAGCCGAGGGCATAAATTACTGAAAAGGAAATAACTGTTTCTAGACTCAGGTGTGGTGGTATACACACACATGAAAGAGGCAATCAGAGACAGACGATAATGGAGCAAACACAGGAACTTGTTCAACTTCAGCAGTAGCTACTATTATCTTCTAACTGTACAGGATTCTTCACAGTCCTCCATCATCCCACTCCATTCTTCCCCTCACTTACTTTGGCATTGGCTGTATCAAAAATAGTTTCAATGAGTAAGATATCAACGCCACCATCCAGCAGTCCTTTGGCCTGTTCCTCGTATGCTTCAACAAGCTCATCAAATGCTGCAGAAAACAAATCACAGCCAGCGCAATCAGAAACCCACACCTTCTGAATGACACCACCGTGTGCCAAGCTCAAGTCTGGCCCCTGTGAATCATTGATGGTTTACAATGCAATTGTTTAAGGACAACACTGTGTAAAAACCAAATTCAGTGGTAGGAAATAATCAACAAACAAAGTTGTTCCAAAACCACTGCCATGTGCCCTCCTCTTCTCACATATGAGCTAGGAGTGGGAAGGTGCATTAATTTGTTGAACTATGTACTTTATTCTCAACATCTTTAAAATAAACACATCAATCACTCTTCCCATAGATCACCTTAACCCATTAGGAGACAAATCTAAGAAATGAGATTTAGGGGCTGGAGAGATGGCTCAGCCGTTGAGAGTACTTGCCACTCTTCCAGAGGACCAGAGAGAACCCAGCACCCACACCAAGCAGCTTCAACTGCCTATAACTCCAGTTCCAGGTGACTCACCACCTCATCTGAATTTTACAGGTATACACATGCGCGCGCGCGCGCGCGCAGCGCGCACACACACACACACACACACACACACACACACACACACATAAAAAATACAATACAATACAATACAATAAATGAGATCTGGATACATCACAGGTTAAATCTCTAATAAATGTTATGATCCCATGGATTTCCCCCATCTCAGTTTATAAGAAGCCACCTCTCCAGAAGACAATTTTGATGGAACCGACAGTGTTCACTAACTACTAGGTCAATTTTGTAAGAAATGTCCTGTGTCATCTATTTCCAGTGAGAAGTCATCTGTCTTCTCACTTTATCTCCCAACCAAAAAGAAAACACTGCCTAGCTATTTAACAGAGACACCTACTATGCTAGCTATGTAGTTACATCTGACTTGGTACCGTTTGGGAACAGGCTCGCACTGTCACATCCAGGGAACATGGACCACACCAGCCTGGGAAGTGCCACTCTTAGTAAAGAAGCATAGCAGCACAGCGTGCACTATTCTGTAAACGAAATCCCATAAGCTGTACTCACCTGGACTTGTCACCTACACAAAAATCCATTACCACAGTGGTAGAATTAGCTCTAGAGTTTTAAATCTTTCATACAGTATTAATGCTCGCAGATTGACCTACACTCTCAATTTTTTGTCAAATCTCAACAAAGCAAGTTTATATATGCTAATGTGTACCTATAAGGCTAGTATGTTTAGATATTTTAGACTGCTTTCGGGAATTGAAAGGTGATATAAACTGGGCATGGTGGCTCACATCTGTGATCCCCTCACTCAGGAGACTGAGACGAAAAGACCGCCACAAATCTGAGAACAGCATGGGCTAGACAGAATGCTAGGCCGCCTAGTCTGAACTATTGTGTCAGATCCTGTCTTAAAAAAAGATAAAAAAAAAAAAAAATTCAAAAAGTGGAGGGTAGAAAGGGAAAAAACAACACAGCAGTTATTTTATAATAGATCAAGAGCTGATACCCAATTGCTTGATGTCTTCCTTGTAAGTATTGGTTCAGCTAGTTTTATAGGAAGCACTGACATATGACCATGAACAGCTGGGAGCAGGCTCAAACAAAGACAGCTGCTAACGTTAGAGTATTTCAGGCACTACTGTATGCCCCTGAAACACTTACAGTCACATTTCTGAGGTCTCACTTTGTAGATTTGTAGATTACTGAAGCACTTCCCCAAGGTCTGTGATTGTATGCAATGAATACTCACTGATGTTCCTGTAATCTGGCCTTTCCACCGATGGGGAGACAGAAAGTGTCTTATTAGTGGGACCCAGAGCACCAGCCACAAACCTCTTGATTCCTTTGGGAAAAGAAAAAAAAAAAGTGTGAAATCACCAGTCACTCAAACTTTTCGGTATGAATACACAGACTTTAGGATCAATAATCTCAGTTCTCAGGGGTCAGAAGCAAGTCTGTGAGTTTGAGGCTGACCTGGGCTACCTAACTCCATCCCAAAATAAAATAAAAAGGTCTGGGACTGGGGCTTAGTGGTAGAGTGCTTGCCTAGCACACGAGGCACTCATCCTGGTTTACCTCCCCCAGTCAAGAAAAAGGGAGGTGAGGGATAATTTTCCTATAAGGCTATAGTCCTCTATAGCTCAGAAACCTAAAAAGTTCTAAAAGCCTAATTTTTTCAGAATTCATTTGAAACAAAACTTTATTGAACTAATAAAAGTCTATTTAATTTTTATGTCACTGAGTTGACAGACAGATTCTCTTAACATATTTGTTCATGACTAGGAAAATCACACAATAAAAGGGATATAAATATCATTGCCGTTAACAATTCAAAACTACTCTCAAACTGCAAATCCAAGTATTTCTGCATGCAATCCCTTTCTATCAGCTGTGTGTTAGCATACTTTCTCCCTATTCTTGAGGAAAATTCAAAGTCTTGAAATTAACAAGGTGATTCACATTAGAACATAATGTGAAATGCTTTATGGTATTACATTGCAGGCCTTTCACTAGAGTAAATATTAAATCAGAATTAACAATTATAAAGCCTGAAATTCCAGCATAAAGCAGAATGAATATTGCTCTAGTCAGCTCTTAAAAAAAAAAAAAAATCTTGCCTCAGGGGCTGGAGAGATGGCTCAGTGGTTAAGAGAACTGGCTGTTCTTCCAGAGGACCCATGTTCAATTTCCAGCACCCACATGGCAGCTCTCAACTGTTTATAGCTGTAGTTCTAGGTGACTTGGCATGCTCACACAGAAATACATGCAGGCAAAACACCAATGCATATAAAATAAAGATCTTTTTTTTTTTTTTTTTTTTTAATCTTGCCTCTAGGCCAGTAGTGAACTTGTTTCTATAGCAGCCTGGGAAGTTGTGCTCATAGGCATATCAGAACAAAAGCCAGGAGTCCTGTAACTCATTACTTGGTGATTTTAGTAGCATAACCTGGGCTGTGCTTTACAATTACACAGGAGAAGCCTGCCAACTAGCTAATAATGCCTGGGTAAGACAGCACCCATCTGTAATTCTAGCACTAGGGAGGTAGAGGCAGGAGGATCAAGAGTTCAAGTTCCTCCTCTGCAACACTGGTTGAGACTTGCCTTGGACTCCAAGTCTGCCTCAAAAGAAACAAAAAGAGAAAAGAGAAATTATTTTGCAGCCTGTGAAAAGGTTTCAGGCCTAAATGTTCTTTATCTTCCCCAGTGATGAATAATAGTGTAGATAGGTGTAAGGAAAATGTCCTTATCTTTCCCTGTTTGAACTGGTTCAATAGCCCATGACCACCCCTCTGTTGGGGTAATAGGCTCTGCAAGTCCATGAACTTAAAGCGTTATCTCTCAGAAACAGATTTCCTTGTAAACTGCTTTGGTCTTCTACATTAGTATGCAGTCAGTAACGTCCTAACAATTTCTTCCCATCTTTCCTACTGGCAATAACTTCACAGTCCCAAATCTTTCAGAGCTCGATATATTTCTTCTACTGCTTTCCCTGTCTCGAAGCCTCTCACCAGCCCAAATGTTCTGATGGCAGCTAGCCAGGAGGTTAGTTATTTCAAGAACCACTTTCCAAGTCCCAGCAAGATTGAATCTAATGCTACAGCCCTCTGTCAGCCAGGAAGAGCAATCAGGTCATCAGTAGTCTACATGAGAAAAATGCTCAAAAGGCAATCACTGCTTAAATAAGCCAGGCCTGAGGAAGAAGCCAGCTTTAGAAAGATAACATCAAATACTCTAATAATAACCAAAATCAAATCAGCCAGTTGCTATTTAATAACCCAGTGATATGCCTAGCTACCAAGTCAGGCTATGAGCATCAGTAGGGTAAAAGAGGAAACCCTGAACTGGAGGTCCAGGGGAACAGTGTCACTTCGGAGACACTGAATGGTTCTCTATAACACTACGTACAGGAAGTATCCTGCAAACAAGTAGATTATTTGCTCCCAAGCCAAACATCATGTAAAGGAAAACTGCACATTAGAGCTGAGACCATCAAAGAACTTGTGTGTGTGCAATAAAGAAGGAGAACGTCCCTTACCTGTCTGCAGAGTTATCTCCTCAGCGGCTCTTCTGGCCACATCTGCAGAGCACTTGTTCATCCGGTAGGCCTAACATATCAACCACTGAAGTTAGTCTGTCCTGCTTTTCTTCCATCCAGCAAGGGATCTATAACTAGCTAATTCTTAGTTGAACTCATCAAAGAACTAGCATGAACTAATGAGGGCTAAGTGAAACCATACATTGTAAGGCTGATATCTGGGCCTCTAGCACGTCAAATAAGTTGATATAGCCAAATATTCCACAAATTAATAAAATATTCTAACCCAGGTGTGGTAGCCTATAATCCTAGCACTTGGGAAGCTAAGACGGTGAATTCAAAGTGTGCCAAGGCTATACAATGCAATTCTGTCTTGAAAGAAAAAAAGAAAGAGGAAAAGTATTCTAGTGGGAAAACCACCAACATTTGAGAGAGGAAATCTAAGATCTTAGAGTGTCTCAGCCACTCCAGAACCAGATGGCAGTTCTCAGAGCAGATTTCCCTGGCCCTGATTTTCTTACTGGACTATGGTGGGAAGAAGCAGTTCTAAACTTTCTGTAGATTAACATTTAAAAAATCATGCCAGCGGTGTTGGCACACACCTTTAAACCCAGCACTAAGGAGGCAGAGGCAGGCAGATCTCTGAGTTTGAGATCAGCCTGGTCTACAGAGTGAGCTCCAGAACTACAAAAAAAAAAAAAAAAAATCTGATAAAGAGTGCTGGAGAGATAGATCAGTAGTTAAAAGCACTGGATGCTCTTCCAGGGGACCTGAGTTCAATTCCCAGCACGCACATGGTGGCTTACAATCACCTGCTAATCCAGTTCCAGAAGACCCAATACCCTCTTCTGGCTGCCACGGGCACCAAGCACACTCATGAGTGCACAGATATATATGCAAGCAAAATACTCAAGCACATAAAAACAATTTTTTTCATCTGAGAAAGATCATGGACCTCTTGCTGGGAAAGAGCAAACAAGTAGGCACACACACACGCAAAGCAGTCTGTCCACAAGTGAAGGGACCCTTCAGAAGCTGTTCACACACCAGCAAGTGTTCTTAGATTTGTAATCTGCATCAACTCCTTTAACTGCCTTGGCTTCTCAAATTAACAAACCAGGATATCCTAACAGGGTTTGTTTGGTGCACTGTGGCTCAGGGCCCATCTCATTATCCACTTCTGCACTGGAACAGCCACAGCCATTTACTTACATGTACAGGTTCAGTCAGTACTACTGCCTTTACCAAAGGATACACTGTTAGTTGACTATTACTTGCCTCAAAAAGCCAGCTGCAATAAATGGGCTGCTACCCTCATAAGCAGAAGAGGTTCAAGCCATGATCCCTGATAACTGGGATTAAACTGACCGCCACTTCAGGTGGTTTTGTCATTAGCAATCTCCTGTGCAATAAATACTAATAAGCATATTAGACAGGAAAGTCTTACCAAGTGTTCAAGGCCATAGTCTGCTTGGGCAATACTAGTGCTGCTGAAAGTGTTTGTTTCAATGATATCTGCTCCAGCCAGCAAGTATTCCTGCAACAAAAGACAGTAAGTCAGCTATTGTGAGCTTAAGAGTCCATGGCCCCAATAATAAACATGGCTTTTCTTCCTTTTTTTTTTTTTTTCTTTTTTTTTTTTTAGTTTTTTGAGACAGGGTTTCTCTGTGTAGCTTTGTGCCTTTCCTGGAACTCACTTCGTAGCCCAGGCTGGCCTTGAACTCACAGAGATCTGCCTGCCTCTGCCTCCCGAGTGCTGGGATTATAGTCGTGCGCCACCACCGACCGCATAAACATGGCTTTTCATTTTGTCACCAACAACCACCTTTTAACCAACATGTAAGACAACACTTTCAAGACTAGAGATGCAAGCAGGTACAAGAATTTCACAGAAAGGCATGTGGTCTAATACATAAGCACAGAATGTAAGTTCAGACAAAAATAATACATTAAGTTATATATATTTTATCACATTCCTTAAACTCTGGTATTTGGTTTCGGGTTCTTTGGGTTTTGTTGTTGTTGCCATTTTTTAAGGGAAAAATATACAAACTTCAAGGGGCAGTGGTTGGGCAGTAACTAGAATCCTGCCTGTCAAGTTCCTTAAATTTTCTGAGTATTGGCCTCCTCATCCAAAGTATTAAAACCATTTCCCACCAACAGTAAATCTATATGGTACTATCAGCCAGCACTTCAGGTGTCTGGCACACCGTGGGCACTCAGGAGCCACCAGCTCTGTTCTCCACACCTCCCCACTGAAACATAACTGATGTGCACTGAGAACTGCACCACCCCTAAGAGATCAAATTCTGAGCATGCTGTTTTCAGGCTGCATCTCCTACTCCTCTATGTGCACCCTCCTGGAACACTGAGAACTTGGTACCCTACCACTCTGCCTCTTTAAAACCCGCCTTCCTAATTTCTCTGTCTGAACAACATCTCCATCTCAGTCTGACTCACAGCCTGAAACCCTTTGATTTTCTAACAGTCAACAAACTCAGTCTTCCTAAGCTGATGAATAATGTTTGCAGAAATGAAAATGAAAGCCAAGATGAGCAGCACATTTACAATAGCAGTCTTCAAGAGGGAGATAACTAAAGCAACTTTATTACATGTCATATGACACCTAAAAAAACTACTGTGTACGTCTATGACACAGTGAGGCCGCCAAGCACCACTAAACAGGAAAACACACTGTGTAAAACATACTGCTATGGTCTGAATGCAAATTTAGACTCATGTTTAAAGACTTGGTCCCAACTGGTAGCACTGTTTCAGGAGGTTGTAGAACCCTTAGGAAGTGGGCCGAGCTGAAGGAAGGAGGGTATAACCAGTCCCTGTCTGCTTCCTGATCAGCACAATGTAACATGACCAATGCCATGTAATAAGCAACTGCTCCCTCCACTATTATGCCTTTCTGCCACAATGGACTGTACCCTCTCTTTGAGCAAAATAAATCTCTTATTTCTGTTAACTATTCTAGCAGAGATAAGTAACATATACATACAGCCATTATGTTTAAAACATGTACCTTCTACTCACATAATATGCAGATTAAACATGTAACAAAAATAATTAGGAAGATAAGTATCAACTGATAGTAGTTCTGGGGAGGGTAGCAATTTATTGTCAAACAGGAATTTATTTTTATGTTAAATAGCAAGGAAGGGGGGCTGGAAAGATGGTCCTAAGGTTAAGAGCTGGTTGTTCTTCCAAAGGACCCAGCTTCTTTCCCAGCACTCATATGGCAGCTCACAATCATATGTAACTATAGTTCTAGAGGATCAGACACCCTCTTACAGCCTCCACAGGCACCAGGTATGCATACAGTACAGACATTCATGCAGGCAAAACACCGTATGTGCAATTTTAGATAGATGGATGGATGGATGGATGGATGGATGGATGGATGTAGAGATATATATTTACATATATATTTTACTACACACACACACACACACACACACACACACACACACATACACACACACAAAGAGAGAGAGAGAGAGACAGACAGACAGACAGAAAACAACCCTAAGGGCACCTCCTGAGGCTGTACTGAAATTTAACATAGGAATCTTGGCAAGGAGGGAAAGAAAGACATGGAACTCAGACCTTAGTGTACCCTACCAGACGAACAAATCTGCTTTCTCCTACTGCACTCCACCATGTGAGGATACGATAGGAAGAAAGGTACATGGTAAGCAGAGAGGGCCTTCGGCAGACACTAGATCTAATGGCATCTCAGTGACGCACTTCCTACTGTTACAAACTATAAATGCTGGGGCCTGGAGACATGGCACAACAGTTAAGAGTACCAGGTGCTCTTCCAGGAGATCCAAGTTTGACTATCAATACCCAAATGGCAGTTCACAACCATCTAAAACTTCTGGAGGCAGTTCTAGAGGGTCTGATTTTTGCTTCCCTGGGCACCAGGCACACACATAATACACATACATACATGCAGTCAAAGCATTCACACATATAAAACTAAATAAATAAATAGAAATGTCATTGTTTAAGCAACTCAATCTGAGAATTTTTATAGCAGCACAAACTAAGACACCATCTTTCAGTGTATCTTCACAGGGTATTAATAGGCAAATATGAAACTCCTAATTTGTTCCAGGATGTATGGTTTTTCAGCTAAAGTTTAAATGCTGCAAAGGCCAAAACAAACAAACAAAAAACAACAACAAAAAACCAACCTACCTTTGTCATCTGCTTATCCCAAGGGCCCAACCAACATAGTATATAAATTTTATTTGGTGTGAAACACCTGCTTTTTAATAAATCACATCCTTTTTCCATAATCTCTAGAGCTTGATACATGAAATAGTCTGAATAAATGTTTAAGAGCCTAGAAACAACTCACCTTATGAATTTGGCCAATAACATGAGGTTGGGTCATACTTAAGATGTCATTGTTGCCTTTCAGTGGCCTGGGGTGATCTTTGAACTCTTGACCTCGGAAACTTTCTTCACTTAGTTTGTACCGCTGGATCATGGTCCCCATTCCACCATCGAGCACCATAATCCTCTTCCTAAGAATGGCTTCAATCTCATCCTGCAGGGTTTTCTTCATCCCTCCTTTAAAGAAAGTAAACACTGACTTCAAAGAATGAAAGAAGAAACTATGTGGGGGATGTAGGTAAGAGGTACCTCATGTGTAAGACCATTGAGTTTGTCCCAGCACCACAAAGGGGGAAAAAAGGTAAGGAGAAGGAAGGGAAGGATGAGGAGAGAGAGAGAACATGGAGGGGAAATTTAGGATAATTCCTAACTCACAACACAGAATAAGTAGAGATTATGAACTTATATAACTACAGCGTTAGAAAACTGCTGCTGAAAATGCTATTAATGTCATTTTTTTTTTTTCCATTTTTCAAGACAGCATTTCTCTGTGTAGCCCTGGCTATCCTGGTACTTACTCTATAGACGAGGCTGGCCTCGAACTCACAGAGATGCACCTGCCTCTGCCTCCCAAGTGCTGGCATTAAAGTGTGCACCACCACTGTCCAGCTGTTACTGTCATTTCTAATGAAACATTTTACACATCACAAAACACCGATGAACCCCAATCGATGGTGGCATAGGCCGAGCTACTTCTGTTTCAGAGTTCAGAGAACCAGTCAACAATGGTTAAGGGGCATAAACCTAGGCCAGGCTGAGGAAGTCCTCAGAACTCAGTGAATTCTGTCCAGCTTACACAGTTGAGAACACTGACACTTCCACCCTGACCTTAGAGTGTCAGCTTCCACCATCACCCATCCACCTACCGCCGGAATCAAAACAGTCACACCGCAGGGTTTTCCTCACTCACCTCTGCTCTGCCTACGAAATAATACCCTCCTCACACCCTCAAGCTCCTCACCTCTCAAATGCTCCCAGAAAAGATCCCAATTCCAGCCCTTTCCAACCTTACTGTCTAGTTTCTAAGAACTAGTAGAAGGTCACAAGGGAGCTGACTGGAATGAACTCACATCAAGCCTTTGTGGCTCATCTTTTCAGTACCTCCAGCATCTGCTGATTCCACCTCCGCTCTACTTTGGTACCAAGTCCTTCTCATCCTTTTCACTCTACAAGTGATAAACCTAGTCCTGTGCAAATGTCTTCTGGTGGAAGCACCTCCAACTCCTCCTGCAGCTGGGCTCTTTCCTTGTCTCTGTGCCTGTGATGATTTGAATGTAAAATGTCCCTAAAAACCTCATGCATTTGAACCTTGGTCCAGTTGATGGTGCTGTTTGGGGAGGTTTAGGAGCTGCTGCCTTGCTGCAGTTAGTAGGTCCCTGGGGATGGGCTTTGAGAGTATATAGTGGCACTCCACTTTCTCTGCATCCTGCTTGGGGTTCAAATGTGAAATGTGATCTTCCAGCTCCTACAGCCATGCCTGCCACTTGCTGCCAAACCTCCCCACCATGATGGACTCATCATAACCCTTCCTTCTGTAAGTTGCCTTCATCACAGTATTTTATCACAGCAACAGCAATAACAGAGCAGCAATGGAATATATGATCAATGATGCCCCAATACTTCCCATGGCCCCCAATTAACTCCTTCCCATCTCCAACATGCAGATTCCTCATCTTCCTGATACAGTTTCCTCTTCTGCCACTCTTCAAAGATTACTCTCTACAGTAAACAATGACCTACGAGTTACTGAAGACACCAATCTAAGGCGCAGGTTTCAAACTATGCACCTGACATCTCCTCCCAGAATACCCAACTGACTCTCAATCTAATTTTCAAAACCAATCTTGCTGTATTGTTTTACTTTCCTACTTCTGTGAATGACAATGTCTTTCCCAGAAATGTAAACTCCAAATCTCAATATCATCTGACGCCTCTTCTCCCTGCAAACAACCACCTGCCTATTCAGATCATGAGCCCTGCCAGTGTGACCTCTAAAATAAATCCCTATACTAAGCGTACTCTCTACTAGTGAGCTCCATCTTAGTCCTCTTCAGGTCACTTCCATAACCTGCAAGAAAAACCCAAACTAGCTAAGTGTAGTTAATGAACTTGTTTTGTTTTTAGAGACAAAAACAAAGGTTTCATGCAGCCCAGACTGACCTTGCACTCACTATGTAGCTACCTCAAATCCCTGACCTGCTGCCTCTATCGCCCAAATGATGGAATGACACAGGTGCCACCACATCTGGCTGTATTTACTGAACTTACAGGTGATAAAACACTTCCCATGAGCCAATCTCGTGGAAAGAAGACAATAGTCCATGGGAACAATTAAAACATATTTCTTTTTTTTTTTTTTTTTTTTAATTTATTTTTTTTTTTTTTTGGTTTTTCGAGACAGGGTTTCTCTGTGTAGCTTTGCGCCTTTCCTGGAACTCACTTGGTAGCCCAAGCTGGCCTTGAACTCACAGAGATCCGCCTGGCTCTGCCTCCCGAGTGCTGGGATTAAAGGCGTGCGCCACCACCGCCCGGCTAAAACATATTTCTAATGAGAAAAAGGAGAGCCAAAACCCTTAATGTGCCCGACTGATAATGCTGTAATCCACCCTGGAATAAGATTATCTGAGCACTGGGTGTGACATTGGGAGAAAGGTCACTTATGTGGAATTTCTATAAGAATGATACCCAAACTTCCTAAGGAAAAAAAGTACAATCTTTCCCACAGACAATGAGACATGGCTTTTGACATCAGGCAAATGCTGTGGGATGTTCTGTATGCTGTGAATGTGTTGCTCTGATTGATTGATAAATAAAACACTGATTGGCCAGCAGCCAGGCAGGAAGTATAGGTGGGATAAGCAGATAAGGAGAATTCTGGGAAGAGGAAGGTTGAGTGAGAGATGCCAGCCCACCGTCCAGGGAGCAGCATGTAACGGCACACAGGTAAAGCCATGGAACACATGGCGACATATAGATTAACAGAAATGGGCTGAGTTTAAGTGTAAGAGCTAGTCAGTAGTTAGCCTGAGGTAATGGTCAAGCAGTTATAATTAATATAAGCCTCTGTGTGTTTACTTGGGTCTGAGCAGCTGCAGACTGGGTGGGACACAAGGAAAACTTCAGCTACAGGCAAACAAACAATCATCATTCTATTATTTACATGTCTTTCTCAGGATGACTGAGCCACTGAGCAAGTGCATACATTTAGTAAATTTAACTGTGGAGAGTGCCTCTATCCCTCCATTTTCACAAAAATACTTGAAGCTAGGCATAGAGGCACACATCTTTGGTCTTAGCAGTTAAAGGCAGAAGCAGGTGAATCTCTGAGTTAGTAGAAAAACTCTGTCATGGGGGAGGGCTTTGCGGGGGGTGGTACTTCTCAGTGGGGTCCCTACTGTACTCACGTTTCAATCTAGAAATATAAACTTCGTTTTCAGTCTTAAGACATTACACTACCATAGAATAATTCAGTCCTCATACATACAAATTCTGAGATCTTGTTTGTAGAGTCACCAGAGAAGCATGAGACCACATGGCCATATTTTTTAAAAACTAAACAAAATATGGGGCTTTTTTTGTATGTTTTTGTTTTGTTAACTTGCTACATTTGTTCTAAAATTTATATGGAAAACTTAGATGACTTAATATAAAGGAACTTAAGTTCCAAAGATCCAACTTGGATGGATGGGAGAGAAGGAAAGTAAGTGTGTGTGTGTGTGTGTGTGTGTGTGTGTGTGTGTGTGTGTGTGTGTTTATTGGAACCAGTGAAACTAAGGACTTACAATATAATAAAATATACTACCAGCTCAGTATCTGTAATTTTTTGGTTTGTTTTTGGTTTTTGTGTTTTGGTTTTGGTTTTGGGACAAGGTTTCACTATGTAGCTTTAATCCGAAATGCTGGAATTAAAGATGTGTGCAACGATGTAATTTTTCAGATGTTTGATCCCATAAAAACTAAAACAAAAGCACAGATGATAGATTAGGAAAAGATTCTGCTATGTCTAAAACTAAAAGGGATTAACATCTAGAGCTTCCATATTAAAAAAAAAAAAGTATAATACTAAGAAGCCAAAAGAACAAGAAAAAGACAAATATAGCCAAGGGAAAGAAATTCTAGGCCTCGCTGAGGCAAACCTATAATCCTAGCGCTTAAAAGCTGGAGGCAGGAGGATCAGGTTGTACTTGGCTACACAGCAAGTTTAGGGCCAGCTATGCTACCAGACTTGTCTTTAAAAAGAGAGAGAGAAAACAAGACAAATAAATTAAGAAATTCTTAAATTCATTAGCTATCAAAGAATTAAAACATGATGATAGCTATTATTTCCAGTAGACATGGACTCAAAATAGTATATAATGCCAAAGAACGCCTGAACCTTCATGTTCGCTGGCTGGAATGCAGACACCTAGAGCCACTCTGTAGAGCAGCCTCCTTGCCTGGAATGTAGACAACAAGAACCACTCTGGAAAGTAGCCTCACAGGGCTCAGTTAAATTAACCATGCAGAAAACCAGCAATTTCACTCTCGGATATATTTTCCAAAAAGAAAGTAAAACATTGGTCCATATGAGAACACAGAGGATATGGTAGAAGGGGCAAGTGGAGGCAAACTCAGGAAATTTCATCCTATAGAAAATGTGGTATGAACTCCCCAGGAAATACCTCATGTCAATAACCAATATACTAAGGCAATATAGATGGTTCTTAAGAGTGGAAGAGTGAATGAAAAAAATTAACTATCATATTTATGTAAATTTCGCCTTTGCAACAGTTCGCTATATACCATAAACAGCCAAACCCACATATAAATTCTGAGATCTACAAGGAAATACATAAATATATGGATACATATGAAAGAGTCTACAGAAGCAAGAGAATAATGAGTAGCAAATACAAATAGATAAAAAGAATACATGTAATAAATGGGTGGGAACTGAAGATAAAACTCTGCAACTTAGGTATTTAAAAATCTACTGCTAGCCAGGTGTGGTGGTACATTGCTGTAATCCCAACAATCTCAGAAGCAAAAAGATCAAGACTTCAAGGCTATTCTCGTCTACATAGTGAGCTCAGAGGTCAGCCTTGGCTATATGAGATCCTTTCACAAAACAAACAACAACAAAATCCAATTCTGCATCAGCCATATGCTTATCATCCTTAAAGAACAATGTGCAATTTATCACTTAGAGAACCTAAGATGTTCTCCAGAAGCCTTAGTCTAAGCGTCTACTGATTTTTCTAGTAGGCGGTTATCTTTTACTAGGTCTAATTATCATTAGAGTGGAGCATTTCTAATTGCCATCAGAACCTTCTCTTAAAAGTAAATCCCCTTGGGCCGGGGAGAAGGCTCAGTAGGCAAGAGCACTTACTGTGTAAACCTGATGACCTGAGTTCAATCTCCAGATGCCCATGGTGGGAGGAGAACAGACCTCCTAAGACCTCGACCAACATGTGCAAACCAGCACATTTGAACAACATCCCCCTGCCCCAATACATACAAACATAAAGACATAAGTAAAATTTAAAAATTAAATCCTCTTGATGATTATCCTTTCCCTTAACATAGTGGGCATTCACTGAAACTTTACTTTTCTGTAAAGAATGGCCCCACCTCCAAAAAAAGTCTCTGTGTTCAGTTTGTTAGGCCTAGAATATGCAGTATATTTTACAACTGACTAGGCCGATTCTACGCTTGATCTTAGCCAAAAAGTAGAGAAGTGATAACTACTCTGATTCTAAGTAGAATAGATTCTTTGACGCATCTTTTAGGGTAAATAAAAGAATACATGGTTTCATAATAACCCCCAGGAGATGATCAGAAATTGTTTTATATTTAAATCTGTATACATGTAAATAACTGCTGTATAGAAAAAAGTCCCAAGAACTGACCTGGTAAATTAGCCCTTTTTTTTTTTCTTTTTCTGACTTGAACATTTTTTTTAACCACTCCCATTTGTATTCACAGTAAACATTCAAAAGGATAAATGAATGTAGGACTAACTGGTTACAGCATCTATCAGATGCTCAAAGGTACATAACTCAGGTGGCACCTGAGAAGTATTCTAAAAGACTGGGGATACAGCTCAGCGTAAATCACTTGCCTGTATGTGTACAAATGTACAAAGCATTACAGCAGATCCCCAGCATCCCCAGCACTACGAACAAATGAAAACCAAGCAACTTACAGAATAAGACGAAGATATAAGACAATCTGTTTCTAATATACGAATGTAAGTGGCAAGCTCTGGAGAGAGAACAACCCTAATGTGGGTCTGCAGTAGGACTTCCCTTTTGGAGTAGGATTAAAAATACTTTTCTGCACTATAAGCAAACGACCTCAACGCTCTCTCAGCAGTTTCCCACTTCAGCTGCTTTAGTGATCTGCCCCACAAGTCCCCTGCAAGATACTTCTTCATTTGGGGCCTCTAATCTCTAGTTTGAACTGATTTGCTACTTTGTAGGCATCTGTGTACATACCTCATTTTTGAAATAGATTTTTTTCTCCCACTAATTTTTAAAAGTCAGAAGAGAACTGGGCTGCTATCAATTCATTCGCTCATTTATTCATTCTTCCATTAATCATTCATTAGTTAAGTTCCTAAAAACATGCAAGGATGAAACCAAGAAATCGCTAGAAGCTGTAGTTGAAACTTTCGCACACAAAATTCCTGCTGGCCCACAAGTCTCCTTTCCTCAACGGACATAATCAGGGACTGAGGTTAATCTCCCACCCTGCCCACCAGCTGGAAGGATTCACTCTTGGGCTGGATACTTGCAAGGGCAAGCATTCCACCACTAGGCACAGCCACAGCTCAGGACACATCCAGCTTTCGGGCTCAATCTTTAAAGTTCAAGAATCTTAAGTCTTCCTTAAAAACTGTTTAAAACTTGACAGTAAGATAGGAAATAAAGCAGAGAAAAACGACAACAATAAAAACACAACAACAAAAGGTGGACACCAGTGACTAAGGGTTTTTAGGATGTTAAAACTTGGTTGTAATACCAACACATACATGAGAGAAGTAGAAATATATCTAGCGTCATTTCTAAGCCACAGGTATGGAGGTAATTGACCTAGAACTTGGTGTTCAACCATGAATGAAAGTGGAGGAGGGGGCAGGGGCAGGTGCAAGTATTCAACCATTTTCTTTCATTTTTCATTCACTGTTCAATCTATTCTAAATTTTCAGAGGCTTTCTGCTGACAGCCATAACTATATTCAAAAGAAGAAATTACTCTTCTTTTTTTTAAATGGGAAGGAGGAAGCCTGAAGCCCTAAAGGTTGTTATTCGTTATTACCATACCTCTATGAAAAAGAGATCTTGTTTTATAGCAACAGATGCGCCGTTAAGCACCATCCCACTAGCTTCAAGGACAATTCTACCAGCTCCATTTGTCAGATATTCACCCTCCTCCCGGTGCTACACACCATGTCATACCACTGGGTCACTGCTCTGTCTTAAAAGAAACAGGATCTCATGTAACCCAGGCTGGACTTGAACTCACTCATTACGTAGCAGAGAATAGCCTTAAGCTTCAGATCCTACTTCCACGCCTAGTTTTATGCTGAGCTAGGGATTAATTAAACCAAGCTTCCTGCCGGCTGGACAAGCACAACTCCGATGTCCTTATTACTAACTCTCCCGTTTCCACGTCTTACCACACACCTCCCATGTGTTATAGGAATTTTTGCCCAAATTTTTAAGACACACAGAACTAAAATTATACTCCCTTTGTGTCTTTTCTCATTGTGGAAGCCGGTGCCACCAACATCAGAATCATTTGCGATTACTATTCCACCTCCTATCCCTACCCCTGGGAGAAGTCCGGTCAGCCCACGGTCAAGCTAACGCTAGAGTCTACAGAAGTCAAGAGCAGAAAAAGAAACTAAAAAACCACGTGGTTCAACTGCCTGGGCTGCCTTACCAACCTCCTAGCATCTTAACTTTTCTGGGGCAGACAGCGTTCGGTAAATATTTATTGAATACGAGCGTTACATCATACAGAACTCCCCACAGGAACCTGCAGCGCTAAAGGCAATGCACGCCGTTCCGGAACCGAGCGCGTGTAGACGGAGAAAGGGACCCAGCAAGGTCCGCGGCCCCCCGGGCTCTGGGCTGCGTCTCTGGGGAGAAGCACCTGAGGAGCTGAGGCACCGACAGAACCGCTCGACCTGGGTGGAGGCGTTATCGGGTTGCGACAACTCAGGCGACACGCCACCGAGCTTCCTCCTCAAGCAGGCAAGGCGTGATCTCCAAAGAATTCCTCCGCGGGCGGCGCCAGCCAGCGCTTACTGCCCTGACGAACGGACCGACGACGTCCAGGAGCCTGAAGCTCCAGAGCCCGCACGCGGGGCCTCCGGGTGCGCGCCGCGGGCACGCGCTTCTTACCGAACTCTCAAGCGCAGAGCTCGCAGAACTCACCCGCGCAGCCTCAGCGAAACACTTAAGGGGAGGACGACGTGGAAATAGCCACACGCTGCCACCGAACTCAGCTACAGCTCCGTTAGCTCTCGGCTCAATCTAGCTTCCCGCGGGAGGGCCCGCCCCCTCCGCGGCATGTGATTGATTGGTCCTTACCAACTCCTCGCCGTTGTGTATAGGCTGTTGGTCGCAACCAATCGCCGGAGGTTTTGCTCCGTGGCCCTATGGGAAATGTAGTCTTCGATACTGGGTCCTAGGGAGACCTGAGCATCGTTTTTTCTGGGTTCCGGAAGTGCCTCGCCAAGCGGGCTACAAGTTCTAGTGCAGGGATACATGCTGCGGTGTTGACCTGCGCCAATGGTACAGTATCAAGGACCAGTAACCTGAAGTTAGCAAATTAATTGTAGCTTAGTTTTACTGACACTAAATATCTGTCTCCCTTATCCATAGAAAAGAAATACTAGAACAGAAGTGACTATTAGTTTACAGGATCGCAACAGGGATTAAAATAAGATCCTGTAAGTGCACTATAGAAATTCTGAGGTACAACTATAGATGCTAATAGTACAACTATAAATGCTAATAGTCACATTGATAGTAAACATTTATTGACTACCTATATGTAAAGCATTGAGGTACACACTTGGATTGCACAAGTGAGTCAGTCAGTAAGGACAACTCGCCACATAAATAATTAAACATGAAAAAAGAAAATAAGGAACATCCCAAAGTGCCTGTTGTATTCTAAAGCAAATAAGTACATGGGTATTTTCTGTGAGGGGAAGAGACATTAAGATTTCTGAGGTTGGCTAGCTACCAGGCTGAATGAAAAACTGGTGAGCTACAGGTTCAGAAAAAGACCCTGGCTAAAGGGAATAATGTGGATAGGGATAAAGGAGGATACCAGATGTTATCCTTTGGACTTTGTAAGCCTGGGGCTCATACATCTCAGCACACAGACATATATACACCCTACACTCACACACACACACACACACACACACACACACACACAAATTAGCTGGGTCTCAAAGGGAGGGTATGTTCTTTTTAGTCAGAGGAAATACACCTAAATAAAACAATACTTTTTTTTTTTTTTTTTTTTTTTTTTTTGGAGCTGAGGATCGAGCCCAGGGCCTTGCGCTTGCTAGGCAAGCGCTCTACCACTGAGCTAAATTCCCAAGCCCAAAACACAATACTTTTTAAGATAGGATTTTAGTATATAGTACAATTTGGCTTTGAATCAGCTGCCTGTGTGCGGCTTTCAAACAAACACCATTTTTCAGATTCAAAACCAAAGGATAGTTCAGTGAGGTTGATCATGGTAAAAGAGATAAAAAAGTAAAATAAAACATTTTATTCTAGAAAAATAAAAAAATACATAGACCCAGGAATAGTGGCATGGGAGTAGTGATAAAGGCCCATATTCCCAGCACTTAATTCCCAGTAGGATTGTGAGTTCCAGCATAGCCTGGGCTACATAGTAAGACTGTGTTCATGGGACGAAAAAAAGCATAACACTCCCAAGTTACTGTATATAAATTGTACCTCAATTTTAGTTTATTTGATGTTTTTGTTTTTTGAGAGGAGGTCTCACATTGTAGTTCAAACTGTTTAGTAGACCAGGCTAGCTTCAAACTAGCAATTTTCCTGCCTCAGCCTTCCAAGTGTTGACATTATAGTTATAAGCCGCTTACCCCTGATTCATTTGGCAAATTTTAAAGTTTATAAACTATGTTGAGGAGGTGGCTCAGCACTTACAAGCACCTGCTGCTCTTGCAGAGGACCAGATTCGGTTCCCATTACCCATATGATGACTCACAACTCTCTGTAACTCCCATTCCAAGGGATACAATGCCATCTTCTGGCCTCCTTAGGTACCTGCATACATAAAGTGTACATAAACACATGTAGGCACATACTCATACACATAAAATAAAAAATAAATAAATCTTTAAAACATATAATAATGAATATAATATATAGAATTGTAATCAAAATGTATAATATATAGCATCCTTATGTGGGAAATGTAAACAAAATGTACTGTCTTTTCTCTTTTTTTTTATTTCACTGGAGGCCAAAGGAGGGTATTAGATCTGTTGGAACTGGAGGTACAGGTGGTCGTGAGCTGCTGAAAATGGGTGGGAGAACCAAACCCAGGTGCTCTGTAAGATCAGCAAGTGTTCTTAAACACTGAGCCATGTTCTGGTCCCTGTACCATCTTTTCTATCAAAGAGGGTTAAGTAAGACAAACTCCATTGTTTGTTTGTTGATAGTCTCATTGTATGTGACCCTGCCTTGCATAGAACTTTCTATATAGACTGGCATCTAACCCATAGAGACCTGACCTGTCCCCTGAGTGCTGGAATTGAAACCATGTACCACTACACCCAGCTGACAAACTGTTTTTAAAAAGTGTTAATAAGCTACTTGGCAGAAAATCAGATTTTTCCAGGGTCAGCACTTCTTGAAATCAAAACATGTGCTCAAGGTTACACTCTGTGCTCAAAACTGCATTCTTCTTATTAACTGAGTGGCTTTAAATTAACTAGGCTCACAGGAATGTAAAGTCACTTAGTGTTAGGAATAAAAACTCACTGGACGATTACTTACTGGTTGTGCTTGCTTTCTTAAATGCAGCCACACACTTCTACAGAAATAAAACTTTTTGCCTTGCTGAAATACTTTGGATTGTGTGGTAATTTTCTTGAGATCTCAGACCTGTTTTTTACACCTTACCAAAGGTGGCCATACTTGGAAGGGATTATATGGATTAGGCAGGAAAGAATGAAAGAGAGAGAGATGACCGGAGATAACAGAAGATTTTGCTAAGAGTATAAAGACTAATTCTCCAATTATCACTTATCATTCAATGTTTGTTGATAAGTTGATAGTTAATGTAACACGAATCTTTTTTTTTTTTTGCCTTTTGAAGATGCAGTTTATTCACAAAAACATTCCTTATAATACCATGCTATAATAAAGGTTGTAGTAATCTCATGTCAACAGACATCCTGCCAAGCAAGAATGATTGACAGGCAGAGACTGCTGCAGGGTTTCACTGAGGAATCTTCTCAATCTGCATTTGCTGTGAGGTCCTTCAACTGTGGTAGGCCTGGAGGATGTCACTGTTGGAGGTCCTTGAGAGCATGAGCCAGTTGCTAGCGCTGACAGGAGGTATGTGTGAACTTAGCAACAGGTAACAAGAATCTTAAAAGGTTTTATTAATAAAAACACTCAGGAGCCAAGTATTGGCGTGAATTCTGAAAGGTCAAAGAAACAGAACAAGCCACATTCAACCTAATCTCGCCAATTCCTCAGCTGATCTTATTTCCTCAAACTGGAAACCTCTGAGTCCTCATCCAAATGGATCTCAGCTGAACTACCGCTAAATGCCTAAAAGCTTAACAAGGCTCTAGTTCCTGGTCCTTACACCTTATATACCTTTCTGCTTCCTGCCATCACTTCCTGGGATTAAAGGCGTGTGTCACCATGCCTGGCTGTTCCCAGTGTGACTTTGAACTCACAGAGATCCAGACAGATCTCTGCCTCCAGAATGCTAGGATTAAAGGCGTGTGCTACCCACTGCCTAAACCTATGTTTAATATAGTGGCTGTTCTGTTCTCTGACCCCCAGATAAGTTTATTGGGGTGCATAATATATCAACCACAATTTAATAAGACAAAAAGTCATAAATCAAGATATTTTATGAGTGAAAAATGAGGACATGACCACTCCAAGATATAGTTGAGGAGGTTTTATTGTAGATATGAGGGAGAATTCAGCAGAGGCATCTGGAAGAATCTATAATAAACCAGGTCATCAGAGGAGGAGGGGAGAGCAAGAGAGGAAGAGAGAGTGGCAAGAGAGAGAACCAGGAGCCAAGAGTGGAGGACCAAAAGAACTCCAGGCCTAAATGCCAGGTCTATGTAGGAATGAGAAGCTTGGGGGAAGGGAAGCGAAGCCCTTGGGCTGGAGAAGTGAGGTGGGGGCAGGGTAAGAAGTGCTGGGAGGAGTCACAGGTACTGAGTGAGCCTTGTTCTGGGTTTCTGGGAGATCTGACAATTTACAAATACATAGGAAGAAACATCAGAGAGGAGGGTTACAGGAAAGTAGGGTAAGCTCTACTATCAGCCTCATTTTAAACCTGAAAATTGCAAGGAGAAAGACGGAATCCACAATAGTGGAACTTATTCTTAACTGTCTTAACCGCAAACAGAAACCTTAACCTGCAAGGTAGATTGTTCCTGTTTTCGTCTCACATTCCCCAATGTAGTGGTTTCTTGTGTCAAATCCTTGTATTGGATATTCTGTGTGGCATGGGTCAATTGAAGAAAGAGGGTCACTCCAGGAGGCATTTTAGGCTCTCTGGCAACAGGAAGGAAGTTTCTGTGAACTGAACCTTAAACAGCCATGCAAAGGCTTATTGATTGATTGATACACAAAATTAGTTGGTTTTTTTTTTTTTTTGGGTAAAACAAGTTGCACATACCAAAGCCCCTGACCTAATCATATGTTTTTCCTGAAGGAAAACATCACACCCCTGCCACTTTAGTCCTTATTGTGTACTGTTTGCAGTACCCCAGGATAGTCTTGTGACCAAAGTCATGCAAAGGCTGTAAAGCTCCTTCAGAAAAAACAACTCCATAGATAACAGAAGACAATCACTGTTTTCCACAATGATTTCTTCAAGGTCAAAGTACTTCTAGAAAACAACTATTCTTCCAAAGTTTACCCAAGATACATCGAAAACAACTATTTCATTCTAATGTTTACCCTAGAGACAATGACTCCATTAGAGTTTCACTACATCCTTGACTCTGCAGTGGGCACCTGGTTATATTGGGCTCTAATAACTATCAATTTACTGGCACCTGGGTGGAAATTTATGTTTCTAATTAAGGTATTCATGGTGCAAGGGCCAACAGTAATTAGCAGAAACGAAGCGTCAAAGGTCCAGTGATAGCTGACATTGAAAGGGAAAAATCAGT